TACAAACAGCACTGGCACAAACCTTCGTGGTTTACAAATGCTGTAAAAACTTTAAAAAATTAACTTTGTTTTATCCTGTATTGCGAATAAAAAAAAAAACTTAAGCTAGTTGTTTGATCCAGCTACACCACGTGGTTTTAACCACTTATTTTGGGACCTAAGGAGTTTATGTGAATTAATATTAATCTAATATTTAATTACCTCCATAGCCGCCGTTTCACCGGTCAAAGTATTTTCTACATTAAAACATTCTTTCTTTTCTGACATTTCTTTTTGTATATAGTAAACCATTTTAGCTATAAGATGATAGTATTCCGAACGGGCGTTTGCCTCATTATAGTATTTATTCTCGACATCTTTCAATTTATCCACTATAAACATTGGTAAGTCAGGTTTCGTTTGTAGCAAAGTTGCGTCATGACAATTCCGCGTGATATTGTTCCATGGATACGCTGATGATACAGCTTGGATTCTACAAAAACAAATACATGTAATGTGAGTTAGTCAATTTTGATCTTGTCTAAATTAGCTTCAAGCGGGAAGAAAAATACTTTCCCAGAAAGTTTATCACTTACAGTTTATTTACTAAGCTGTTCCTTAGATCATCTGATACAGAATGATGCCATTCCTTTGTTACTGACATCTGTGAACAACAAACAATTAAAAAACGTAAGGACATAACATAAATCTTTTTATTGTTACTACCTGCGATATATTAAATTAACAGAACTTGTTTTTTGTTACAGGTAGTAGTAAACAAAGACCAGGAATCGAATTTGAAACCCCATAAATAAATAATAATGAAAAAATTAATTATTATCATTTCAAGGTTACAAGAAGAAAAGTGAATAGAAATAAAAATAAAATCTCTGGCTCATAGGTCATCAGCTGCGACCACAACAGCCATAAAAAGTTTATTTGAATTATTATTATTTATATCTGTGGTTGCATAACTGCAAAAGCCAAAAGTAACTCTGTCATTCATAATCTGCCTCATGAAATAAAAACATAATGTTTAGAAATGAACTTATTGCTATTAATTATTTGTTAGGAGTATAGGTATTATGTATCGTCCCTCTATTTTAAGTTTAAAATAGGTACACTAGTTTTTAGACGAAAATTATATATTATACACCTGCATTTTAATCAATTATGAATAGTTAAATATTGATTAGATAGGAAACTAAAATAAAACTTAAAAAAACCGTTTTTAGGTTAGTTAACCATAAACAATGTTTTACAGATGAAAGTCACTCAAGATTATATAAAAATTATTTTTAAATTTTAATGAAACAACAAATAAATACCTGGTTTCCACTCACCACTATAAAAAACCCGTAAAAATGTAACTATATTATAATTAATAAGGACCTATAATCAGTACACGACAGCAAAACGCGTATTTACCCTGAAGGACGCTCCGACTTAATAGATTGTCACACTCGATTTGACCTATGGGTAGCGACTCAATAACTTGGTGCAATAACAGATAGATAATTATTATTTGTCTTCATGAAAAGCTAGTTTTTGTGATTACAATAAAGTTCAAATAAATAAGCAAATTTCTAGCATACTTTGATTTGTTGCATATAGTTAGCATGTTACGGCCGTAGAGTTGAGACTCTACAAAAATAAAGAATGCCAGTGTAGGGCATTTCAAATTTTGATTTAGTAAAATAGTACGTTTTGGTTCTTCTGTTACCCAAAATTGCTGACTTGAATTCCAATTTCAAATTTCCTCCAAAAAAATCAAAGTAAATCGAAAAAAAAACGTCTTGAAACGATCAGTGGCGTACTAAACCGTTTGAGTCAAATTCATCGGAAATTCATTATTTTCTTTAATTGCGTAATAATAAATGTCAGGAGTAAGGAGTCTCCTCTGACCGGGTGCCCCCTCCAGCTAGGGGCCCGTGGCATTTTACCGACTTGCCACCCTGTAGTTACGCCACTGGTCTTGATCTTAGACCGAATAAAAACTTTTTATAGAGTCTGATGTCGTGATTTACTTACTAGCCTTCCGCTAGCGGCTTCGCCCACGTGGTCCATGGGGAACCGTTTATTTAGATATCCATTTATATCATGACAGGGATAAAAGTAAAAATGGCCCGAATTGCCCGTGCCTCCAGATAATTACAATGACAAATAGAATAGTAAACAATTGTTACTATGTTATGTTATTACAACGTTTTAATTCCATAAACAAACTTCCACTCCCATTTTCATCCCTTTATTGGCTGTTATTTTTTTTCGGCTTAATATATAGCTTATTTTCACCACATTTGATATAGCTGATATTTTTTTATCCAGTGGTATAGATGTTCCAATTCAATAGTCAAATGCGATCACTACGAGGGTCAAACTGAAAGTTCTTAGAACTGGCCACTTATAAACAATATAATAAAAAAATAATTCTAAAATTTGAAAATATAACTCTTTGCCAATATTACTGAGTATATATTTCATTCATTTGTCATTTGTTTTACGATTTGGCGGCAAATTGAAAATTGTCTGTGTCACGTCATCATGAATTTAACACGAGAAAATTTTCGTGCAATGATTTTTTATGACTTTCGATGTCATTTAAGTCAACAAGAAAGTTATGATAGACTACGATTGGCCTTTCACGATGAAGCCCCATCTCGTGCGACTGTTTACAACTGGTTTAATGAGTTTAAACGTGGTCGCACTAATCTCACTGATGATTTACGTGAGGGACGGCCTTCTACGGCGACGACTGAAGATAACATCTGTGTTGTGCGGCGTATGATAGAGACTGACAAAAGAGTGACCTATCAACAGATTCGGACAAGCTTAGGCATCGGTATGAGTCAAGTGCACAAAATCCTCCACGAACATTTAGCGGTCAGGAAGCTTTGCGCCCGGTGGATACCTCATAATTTGACTGAGGCTCAAAAACTCCATCGTGTGGATTGGTGTCGTAAAATGATTGAAAGATTTAACGGAGGTGACTCAAATGCTGTGTTCGACATACTAACAGGTGACGAAAGCTGGATTTACTGTTATGATCCTAAAACCAAAAGACAATCTGCTCAGTGGGTGTTTCCTTTCGAGGAGTTGCCAACTAAAGTGAAGAGAGATCGAAGTGCGGGAAAAAAAATGGTGGCCTCGTTCTTTGGAAGGATAGGTCATTTTGCAACAATTGTGTTAGAGGATCAAAAAACAGTTTCTGCAGAATGGTACACTACCAATTGTTTGCCACTTGTCTTGGAAAAAGTTCGAGAGAAACGACCTCGCAGTAGGATCCTCCTTCACCACGACAACGCCTCGTCGCACACCGCCAAGCGAACGATCGACTATTTGGCGACATCAAACGTTGAATTACTGGGTCACCCGCCGTATAGCCCCGACCTCGCGCCTTGTGATTTTTATTTATTTCCAAAAATTAAAGAAAAACTTAAAGGAAAGCAGTTTATGAATGCTGAAGAAGCGGTGGCTGCGTATCGCGATGCCATTGAAGAGACCCCTAAGGACGAGTGGGCAAAGTGCTTTTCCCAGTGGTTCCATCGATATAATAAAACTAATAACTGGCTAATGTAATCAGTTTTTGATTTTCTAAGAACTTTCAGTTTGACCCTCGTATATATTGTGATGGACAATGTAATCGGGCATTATAATGTCCCGCGCAGAATATCTACGATGCTAGTCACCTATCGGGCGAACAATAGGGAATATGAAAAATGAACATCGAAATAAAAACTACTTTCGTTTTAGCTTCAGCTTTAAAATAAGCAATCCTACGTATTTTATAAATTATAGAGATATGAAAGAGTATCATTTATATCTTATACTCAAAATTCAATCGATAGTTAGTCGCGTAGGTCACCTGAAGTCAGAAGTTGAGGTCAGACATTGTCTTGCATGCATTTGAAATTCATAATATTTTTAGTTTCTTTTTACTTTTGCCCTACCTAATAGACGGACAACTCGTGACAAAAATGTGCAAAGCTTCCTAAAACTTGATATTTCAGTATGATGAAGAATTAAAGGTATATGCCACTCTGTATCCAGTACGGAGGTCAGACGCTGGCACACCTGGTACCAGCGGAATGAATCAAACTTCTACCGCTTTTTGTTCCAATTTTGTTATATTAAATGTTAACCTGAGTATTTTCATCTGCTGAGTCATCACTTTCCACTATTGTGTAATCTAAGCAGTTTAATCTACTTTTTTATTTTAAGAATATGTTTTTTCGCTAATTTTAAATTGCCAAAAAGCACCTTTAATGTGTTAAAATTTTTCGTTCTTTACATTGCCACGCCACCAGTGTTCCAACAATCGATCTCCGCACGAGGTACTGAGTCAAAGTCAAAATAATTTTTATTCAAATAGACTTCTTAAAAGTACTTTTGAATCGTCCAATATTTTTTCCCTACCAATCCTTCAGGACGTCTTTTGGCTGATAAGAAGGACGAGCAAGAAACTCACAGCTCTAATAGGAGTAATGACATTCACAAAAACCATGTCATTACCAGATTAATACATTATAAATAGAGAGAGAAAAAAAAAAATTCTTATAATTTAATAATAACGGTAACAACATAATTGATATCCTTAGTAATCCATGTTGAAATATTAAGCTTTAGAAAGCACTTGCACATTTTTAGCACTACCTTTAAGACTGTATATAGGTACGAAAGTAAGTACTTTAAGACACGTATCCATTCGTACCCGGCTGTAAAGAGATGTATGCATTAGTACGCAACTGTAAGACACCATACAGTTCCGTATGCAGACAGATTATCATAAACAATATGGAAACATTTCATACTATAATATCTTAACTTGATCAGTTTAATTGTAAAACTTTTAGTATAACATACAATCAATGAGAAGGATGTAGTTATAAAGGAAATGTTATAAAGGAATTGGATCAAAGAAACAAAGGAAATACAGGATAATTAGCGACATTGTTTCCGAGCCGAACCAAAAGTCAGATAAATTCTTATTTAAAAAGACGGAGAAAGAAAAATGATTGATTAATTTCAGTCCACGATTTTTTTATTATTTACACATAAATGACTATAACATTATCAATTAAAACTTAAATATTTAAATATATTAAGAATAACGTGAAGTTAACTATGAGAAACAGTGATATACAGATATAGAAACAGAAATGTCATACATATTGTACACAATTTTATTTAATTCGATTATTTCGTGATTATTCTACAGATCGTTAAGTTTATTCTTCACTCTGGAAACGATTATTTATCGTAAGCTTCATATGTCTCCACCTGTTAACAAAAAAATAATGTATACAAGGGAGTCGTCATGTGACATTTTAACACAATGTACGTATGTAATAATTTAATGTTAGTTATTGTTACATACACTCACTGGCACAATTACCCACCTGTACTATTTATCACCCTGTTCGGTTCCCTCAATTATGGTTTATCAACTATTTTTTGTTAAGTGGATTCTCTAGCAATAAATAAAACATACTATTATTTTCTTTCTAAAATGTGCGTCACTGAAGGGTTTTCGCTATTAAGTCGTTGTTTTACATTGTTGCTGTTGTGTTACCGAGTTAACATTTTCTGTTATTTTCTATCATAGTGGGCGAATATTGTTTAATTTAAAATTATAGTGTTTGCTCATTTTTTTTTTTACTGCAAATCATACAACTATATCCAGCGTTGCATCGCTCGCACACTCTGTGTACCTCGAACTTACGGTACGAGATGCCATCAGACGATTACTGAAGACAAGCTTATACACTCGCAGGCCAGGTCAAGGCCGATATCTATGCACTTCGACTCGAGATGACCGTTTCGTTGTAACCAATGTGTTGTGAAGTCGCTTTTCGACCGCTACTGAAGTTCGTACGCGTCTTTTTAAGGTGAGAAATGTCAGTGTCAGTGAACGTACTATTAGAAGAAGACTAGCAGAAAGTAATTTGATGGCTTTTCGTTTTCGCGCTCCGCAACTGCTCCCACAACACGGTAGAGCTAGATTTAGTTTTACGCGAGAATATGCTGACTTGAGAGGAATGGAAGAACGTACTGTTCTCAGATGCGAGCAGAATAACCTTAAGAGGTCCAGATGGACGTCAGCGTGTCTACATGTGTCAAAATGAGAGGTTTGCTCTATGCGCTGTAACTGAAGCAGTAGGTCACCAAGAAGGGTCCATAATAGTATTGGGAGGTATCTCTTACGAGGCTCGTATCGATCTTCTTGTGTTCGCGACAAACGAAGTGTACACGCTCAATAATAAGTGGAAGAAGTTCTTCAAAACCATGTCATACCTTTCACTCCGTTCATTGGTGACAACTTCAGATTAATGCATAACACATACGTTGCCATGCCATAGATCCGTCAGTTAGTACCTTAATTTCAAAATATCGGTTTTTCGTAAGCATCCTTTAATAAAAGACTTTTTTCCATTATTTTTGTTGTTTCCTTTAAATATAGCTTTTAACAATCCTTTCATAAAATATGATCTGAATTTGGCGATTTCTGCGAATTGAAAGTAATAGAAGGGGGCCGGTTAATTGTGCCTGTGAGTGTATCACCATTTCCATCACACTTCATTTAATTGTTATAACTGTCAAGTTACAAATTGATTTGAGACCTTAAGTTATTGAAGGTGAAGTTTGTAATCGATTACGAATCTTAAACATGTTATGTCTTGTGCAGTGTATACAAACAGTGGACTATTGTCATTCTAAATAAATAAAAAAAAAAATAAACTGCCCCCCGCGCTATACTCACCCATTTATTCATTAGATGCCGATGACTGCTTGCATGCTAGCGACCGCGCGGTCTGTCTCCTTCTCGTCGTTGTCAGACTCTTGACGCTGCTCTTCAACCACCTGCATCTGCGCCTCTTGTTCACAGTCTGTCAAGAAAAATGCAGGAATAAATTAAATTGCGTTTTAAGTTTGGTACACACCTTTAATTTAAATATGTCACTGGAAAATAACAACAACCGCAAATTAATTGCCTAAACGCGTAGAATTCTAAATGAGACATAAAATGTCCACATTTTCGCAAATTGATAAACTTAACGAACTCACACGCCCCATAGCAGAAGGGTTTTGATCTGTCTGCGACGGATTATAATAACCTGAAAATAAAATTCTGTTTCTGCTAGTGTAATTTTTTTATTTATGTAAGACTGCCGAACTGTCTGCAGACCTACTCGGCTGTCTGCGACAATGTCGCAGTGTCGCTCGTTGTTCTGCCTTGGGGCTCACACGTAAAGTAATAAGTAAGCAATAACCAAACGCCATGTGTGTCCTGATTGGTTGAATAAGTCACGTGTTAGGTACCTACTTCTCCCTTTCCACCGCCGTTGTTATCTTTTGTAAAAAAAGTAACCCTGTATTATAAGTACCTATATAGTTTTAAAGTAAAAATACTTTTAGGTGGGTATTCGAAACTGACAATTGTTAGTCTTACTCACTACAACCGTGTCCCTACATCGCAACTACAAATTTTAGTTTGGTAATTCTGCTGATTGTACCAAGTCTATGGACACGAGCGTTGCCACTGTCAACATCGACTAATCAGAGCTGTGTATTATTTGCCGTATTTCATAGAAACGTAAAATTAAAAGCTCTTCTGTGATTGATTGAATTTACCACGATACGTGGCTAATTGATCAATTTTCGGAAATAATAAAATTTATTTCTCGTTTAGAATCCTACGAAATTTTATAAATTTGCTGAGAAATTCATAAACTTGCGGATCTTGTTATTTTCTAGGGACATATTTAACTATCGAATTATCCAGGACCTAACAGATCTCACGAATCTTTCCAGCACTTGATACTTTTCATTAATGTTCAGACAATCCACCCAATTAATATTTTTTAAAGATAAAACAATAGCAGAATATTTTCTAGTATAGCATTGTGAATACATAATAGATCAAATATAGTAATAAGTTTACGGTCGACGTTGGACAAGTGGGCGTTTACTTGTAAAATTAAATATTAGTAGTATTGGCATAGTTCGCCAAATAATAATAGGATAGCTACCAACAAAAATAGAATTAGCTACCAACTTCACATCTTGGCTGTCGGTTTAGTACTCAGTCAGCAAAGAAAAATAAAGTTCGATTTACATGTTTTAAACATTTACATTTTTTGGATTCATTTTTTTACCACATATGTATATTATTGATTTCTTATATTTTCCCGCACACTATCCATAAATGAAAAAGCTTTTAAACGGTTTCATTGTGAACACGGAAGCTGTAAAGGGTCCCAAACATCAAAAACTAATTACAATCGCGATGAAACAGTACAAAAATTGTTTCATTTACATATGTATATTGTATTACTTGGTGTTTTCTTTGTTGCTAAATATGAAATTGACGATTTTTTTCACAAAGTTACGCATCACCATTTTCGGACTTCGGACTCAATTACAAATGTCAGTGTACCGTAAACCGTTAGGGGCCGTCCATAAATTACGTCACACAAAATTCATGATTCTACTTTAAAATTGTATTGATTTATAGAATATGAATATTTCCTTTTCTTTTTTGCACACCTTGCATCTTAAGTTGAACGAAACAAGATAATCGTTCGATTTCTTATTTGGCTTGCACAGCATGTTATATATAGATATGTACATGTAAATATTACCTTCCGAAACTGTATTCTGTGTAAGTTGCAATGTGCCATCAACAATCTGTCCGGAGATCACCCCGGAGAGCCCTATCACGTTCATCTGTTGACGCATCTTCTTTGCTTCAGCCTCCAGCTGCTGCTGGATGTACAGCTCCTTGTGATGCACCTTGTTGTGATACTTCAGATGGTGCGCTTTAGTGAACTTCTTGTTGCATGGACCACACCTATTCAAGATATACACATGAATTAAGATAAGCATATCTTAGAAAAAACTAAAATAAACGATATTGTCACAAGCCAATTATGATATTATTATACAAGCGAAAGTTCTTCCTAATGAGCGAGCAATGAGTTCTTCTCTTAGTCCCGAAATTTAACGAGACACAAAATTTTCAAGTACTTCTTAGGTAGTACAAAGTAATATTACAGTGGCTTCTAGTCTGAATATTAAGCAACGTTTTCGAGTAAATTTTGTACAATGAGACGGTATTACATAGCTGTTGCACTCGCACATACGCAGTGACCGCCGTGTACCCAATTTAGTCATATTAAAATGAAATTAAAATGTTTTCGCCTAACAATCAAGATCAAAATACAAAATTTCTGCTTCATGACTGGACTTTATTTATCTATTCTATACCCATATACACTCGTATCTATCTATAGTCGGAAGAAATTACTTGAGAAGATGTCATTACTTAAGTAGATATTTTTAACCAATAGACAAGAATATATATGTGAAGTAAGAACTGTTACTTAAAATCTAAAATAAATCAGTTCAATTTAATTCTTAATTCATTCAAATCTTGTTTTTTTGGTAAAAATATCTGCTTCAGTCATGACATATTCTCAAATAAGTACTTTTCTACATTATATATATATGAGTGACATTGGATCACTTGCTAAATTCACCAGTTCACCAGCTAAATAAACACAAGGCACGAGCTTATCAACCTTGGAAAATGCAAATATTTTACAAGTGCAATACTTACGAATATTTCTTCTCTCCGGTGTGCGTCAACATATGATTGGCCAACACATATGAGTATGTGAAAGATTTCCCACAAACTGAACACTGGTATGGCCTGAGACCCATGTGCAATCTGAAAATATAATTTACAATTAAAATATATTCAATATAGACATAGTTTTAGTATTGTTAATAATAAAATTGATCACGAACTACGATACTATATCATAATTAAATTATTCAAAGTGTCCTTCGCCTATGTGAGCTTCAAAATTGTGAATCCTATATAAGTTTTTAAAAGGATAAAAATATCACATACAAAACATACTACAACTTTTTGTATACTGCAAGTCACCAAAATCACCTAAGTAGTTTTCACGTGATGAGGTAACAGAATTTCAAATTTATAATATTAATTAGACTTCATAGATTCTTAATAGACATCTACTTTTTCTTATGGACTTTAAATCTTGGTCGACTTTTAGCACTGAATGTTGCAGCTAAAGGGGGAAATGTCAGTTAAGGGAAATGTGTTAAAGATTAATAGTTCTGTATAATAAATAGCAACAATAACTGATTTAACGCATATACAACACCGGGGTGTAAATATTTTTTTTTTTTCTTGACAAATTATTTGGTGGCATTGTGTCTTTGCCATTGACCTCAAATTAAATAACAGGAGCATTTATGACATCATTAATAAATTATTATCGTACTCTTATTTACGAGAAAAAAGTTTCTTACCTTGTCATTAACAGCAAATCGACAACAAAACAAATGAGAAACGACGTACGCGTTTCAACTATAACACGATATATATTTACACGATGTTGGAAAATTTCTATGTTCGTAGTAATAATATTTTATCAGTAATAATGTTTACAAAAAATAAACTTGTGCATTTGCTGTCTCGAATTTGTAATTTATTTTACGGGTATAGAGGGTAACTTCACATTAACGTCGAAGTAGCAACTTGGCCGAGAGAGAAACTCGTAAATTCTCAACTTTCAGTGAAATTTTATAATATTTTATCAAAGTCCAAGCGTCATAGATATAATCTCCGCAAATTGCTAATGCGCCTGGCCGCCATTTTAATGACGTAATTGCGTTAAAAAATCAGTACCGTTAACAAATAAATACCGGTAGGCGAGTACACTTATTGAATTGGGTTGTGTTGAATTTACACTTATTTTTTATGTTTTTGTTGGTTTCGATTGTTATTGTTAACTTTTGTTTGTTATGGTTATTACAATAAGTAAAATTAATTTAACTAGTAATAAATGTATTTAATATCTCAAATACATTTAATGTCTAAGTATTACTTTTGGTTATGTTTTAACAAAAATGTCCTTTCCGTTTGTTATCGCGTTATTAAAAAGTAAATGTTATTTATTCACATTTTTTATATTCCGTATACCTCGATATTAACATATAAGTTGTATCTTTTACAAACTAGAATGTTATCAAATTATTATAACAATATTCTGGAGATTTTTAATAAATATTTCAATAATTAATTTCTTGCTTTTGTGCAATTTATACTTTCTATTTTCATATGACGTCACGCTTCCAGTTCCGGCACATTAGCAATTTACCGAACTTATAATTTATATTATATATTCAAAAAATACAATCCAGCTGTAACAGAATCCTTAAAAATATCAGTATCCTCATTTTTAAATACAACTTACTTTCAAATCATTTCTTTGTGCAAAACAAGTTTGTGATATTTTGTGTATTCACCAGATTAATTTCCACCGTATAGGATGCGACATAAAGTTCACATTCTTACAGTCTAACGTGAATAATGGTGACTTAGTAAACCCCTCGCTATATACCTTTCGTGTTTCTGTCTGGTACCGTAGTCACCGAATCGTCTATCGCATATCCTGCACTTGTACGGACGCTCGCCGGTGTGACGTAGCATATGTCGCTTCAGAGCTTCGTTCATCACGCAAGCGTAACCGCAAACGCTAAGTGAACACCACTAACGATGTCAAGCGATCTATGCTCAATGTCACTACGTTATTTTAACCAGAGATTATATTATCAACGATAGGAATATGAGTGCAATGATCTTGGATTAAACAATGATCTTATTTATTCAATCATTACAGATTTCGAGATGGTCCTTTATTATATTTATGAATTAGATTTTACTGGTTTCAAATCGACAATAACAAATGTTTGTTTTTATTATTGATAATTTTCATATTATTTTGTTATCAAATTTCATGCTACAAAAAGGATTATTTTGAATGTGTTAAAACTATAAAAGTAGTTCTTTACCAAAGTACACTAGTTATTCCTACCATTGACTGTAATAATCAAACTTGGCTAAATCACAAGTGACACGGCATATTTTCAAGTGAAATTCTAAACTTAAAATACATTCGCACTCTCTGTTACAATAAAATCTTATATTTATAGTTCACCTTTACCCGACCAAGTCGCCAGCATCGCCGTTTTATTCACTGTCTAAATTGGACCTTGACATCAAACAAATAAAAAGCAAAATATAAACTTTTCATTCCTCTTTTCTAATTTAACAATATATGTATATTTTGCTTTTTGATTCGTTCGTGTGGACTATTGGTAGTGTATACTAGCCTCTCGTGTTTCTGCCTACTGCCAAAGTCACCGAACCTCCTATCGCATATGCGGCATTTGTACGGACGTTGGCCGGTGTGACGCATCATGTGACGGCGCAACTCCATGTTCAGAACGCACGCGTACCCACACACACTACAAAACACAATCAACGAATTCTTTTATCATTACCAATATTAGATCATATATCCTTAGATCCAATGAGATCTAAGGAAATTTGTTTTAACTTAAAACTTATAAACCATCGAGTTGAGATAAAACTTGGAGAAATTAATAGAGTACTTTCTGACTATTGAAGATTTAATTACCGTTAGGAATGATAAGTACAGAGAGCAACTCTAATATTAAAAAAAAAAAACTAAACAGCCGATTGTTTTAAACATCTATTTTATTTATAGATTAATGCAAGATATTTTAGTTTCTGCCCAATTTCAATAAAAGTTTTCAGTGTTTTCTAATTCATAAAATGTAATTTAACCTATTTTAGAATATCGACTAGAAAAGGAAGTTATAAAAATAAACTCAATACCTATTTCAATCACTATGTTGCATAAACATCTATGTTATTTGAGCAAAATAGATGAATGTAAATCTACATGTGACGAAAACTTTTTAAGAACTATAATCAACGAAGTCATAAAAATTTACAACTTTATGTATTTCTTATAAAATTCAATTTTGCATGTATTCAAATCACGATGTTCTGTTCAATGATACGATGTGGGTGCGTTTACGTTCTGTCGTGAGAGTTCACGGTATCGAGAAATTTATTGTAACAGCTAGTGCGAGCAATAAACAGTGCGACATGGGCGCAGGTGTTGAAGTAAATTCCAACAATTTTACTATACATTAAAAAAAACTTCTAGGTTCGTATTGACGAAATAAGTACAACAAAACATGTTGTGAACGAATCAGTTTTCAAAAGTTGCAATGTCAATATTAAAATTAATCGTGTTTCTGTATATGTTGTTTAATATGTCTTTTATATGAATTCACTATTAAAAAGTCACAGCATGTTTTATTAGTAAATATGACATTAACGTGAATAATAAGAATAATAAGGTACTTTAAACAAGGCACCGGCCCACACCCACATCGACTCATATGGAACAATGTAAATACTAAATGTAAGCATTGTGTAGTTATAATGGTTTGTCCTTGTCACTCAAACTAAAAATCACATTAGAAAGACGAAAACAGCGCCATGTATAACTAAACAACGATTGTGAATCAGTTTTAGTAAGGGTATAAGAATATAGTTATATACTATATATTTGATGGTATAGTTTCGATTTTAGCTGCACATCAGGTAACCAATGAAATCAGATTCAGCAATAAATTATAAACTTAATAATCAAGACACTAAAGTTTTAAATCAATTAGGGATATTTTTTTAATCTAATTTATAGTGGATCATAATCTATCAATAAAAATTTGATATTTACCTGCAAACAAATGGTTTGATACCCAAGTGACGTCGTATGTGAGCCTGAAGCGACGCATTTGAGGTGAACGAAGTGCCACAAGTCTCACAAGTGTGACTGAAACAAAAAATAGTGCAAATATGCTTGAACCAAACTTTGATGGTGGGTTAGTGGATCACATTAACGTGATCTAAATGACTTGTTGTAGTGCTTCTTTGGCACCTTAAACCAATGTTAGTTTACAGTCTTAATAATCTTATCATTAATATATTGGAGTTGAATTACAATTTAATGTACAAAATAATTTTTCACACATGAATGGTTTTAATTATAAACTATCAAAATGACAAATCATACAAATCTGTGGATCCCATTACAGGACTTTCCATAGATACAAATTAGGGTTTGAACACAAATTTTTGAAACTAGGTTTAGAAAAACCAGGTTTTCACTAAATCTTATCCGAATATTGTACAACTCTTGTAAGTTTAATCATTTAAATATATTTTTTAATTTAATTTCTTACATTACACTTGACTTTGAACTGCATTGCAATTGTTCTATGACATAATATAATTTATCTGAAACATAACTTTTATTTTCTGATTTATAAAAAAATAAAACGATTGATGGATGTAATATTATATTTTTTTATACAATCTTACTAATATGATAAAATAAAATATCAAATTTACTAATTTAAACAATTTTTTTATACTGCACTTGTTTTTAAAATATGGACCATAAAAGTCCCTCATCAAATGTCACTTAAGTGGTTCTCATATTTCATTAGTTAATAATACATTCTTGGCATCAGTGAGGATCATTCTTTGTTTACAGTAATTTAAGCTTATCGGCAGTCTAGTTTAAACATTGGCAAATTGTTATATTTAATATATCTGAAGTATTAATTAATTAAAGATGGGCCTCACAATTGGTATCTACAAAAAACACTGTCTCAAAAAAAACAAGATTTTGCCGAATATGTATTTACAGATCCTGTAATAATTAATTATTCAAGATTCACATGAAACTGGACGTTAATTTCGATAAAAAAAAAACTACAAATTTGGAAGAAAAATATCAAAAACCATGTATATAAACATACTCAAAATGGACATGTTTGCTTCATGAATGCTAAATTAGTATGGATACGACTTGTTAAAATAATCAATATAGATTATCTATTTTTCGATTTTAGTTTTATTTAACCATTGTGTAGTTAAAAAAAAAAACATTTTATTACTATTGCGTTCATGAAGGAAAACGATTAGTGTTAAAAATAACTATCAAATAAATAATTAACAACTTATCATGCCCAGATACCACATGTTTAAAAAACGATTCCAAGTTGCATTGGTGACACGACCTTGGTAACCATAGCCATATAATAAGCCTACAGGCACAGATATAAAACGTGCCTAAAGCATACACTATATACATACATAAAACGCATAGAGCAGCATTTTTGTCCAGTACTTAACACCTGTATAGATGGACAGTAATAACACCTATTTAACTACAGAGTGTATGTGTATGTGTGTGTGTGTGTGTGTGTGTGTGTGCGTGTGCGTATGTGTGTGTGCGTGTGCGTATGTGTGTGTGTGTGTGCGTGTGCGTGTGCGTGTGCGTGTGTGTGTGTGTGTGCGTGTGTTTATTGTAATAATCTGTAGCGTCAGTGTGAGGTGTGGTACGGTTCGTAACAAGTGAAAACACACATTGCTACTTCACATGCTTTACAATATGTGATCGTCCGTTTCTTGCAGACGGCGCATTGGCGCTTAAGTCGGTCTGGCTTTCCAGTCTTAATTATATCGTACTGTGCCGGGCTATGTATTGTTGTGATGACTGTTGGACTGGGTACAGGTGTTCTGTGTGCTGTTAACAAATCCATTATCAATACCTTCCGGAACTTTCTGTGTGTCAATGATTTATTTTTAAGTAAAATGTGTGAATTCAAAACACTAGCGTTCAGGAGTTTTCTAAACAATTTTTTGTACCACACTCTGGTTCTCCTTCGTTCAATAGGGTACATTGAAAGCAGCTGATCTTTGCGGTCTACTCCACCCATACAAATATTATAGTCCTGCACGACAGTCGGCTTCAGAGTATCGCCACACCTGGTAGTTGCAAGACCATGATATGTTGAAATAAAGGCCACGCGGTTTTTATCCCTCCACACCATGAGATCCACATCTTCCGAGGTGCATCCGAAAACCTGACCGACAGTCATGTCTTTTTTTGTAATACTCGCCAATTCAGATGGTACGAATTGGCGGTTTGTACGGAGCGTTCCCACGCAGTCAAATCCCAGGACCTTTAGTTCACGTGCTAATGCGGGAGAGTTGTAGAATTTGTCCATCCATACGGTGTGCCCTTTATGCTCAAGACCTTTTAAAAGTCTGAGCACGAGAGCTGGTACTATTCCCGAAAGCGGATCATCATCTTGTAGTGCCGAGGTGTCATGGCCAGCGTGTACTTCAAAACGCCATAGATATCCCGTCTGGGATTCACAAACTTCATAAGTTTTGATGTCGACTGTCGCTGCTTTATTACGGATGAATTGATTTATATCAAACCAACTCTTCCACATGGTCAGACTCTCGTCAAGAGCCACATTTTGTGATAAATTATACAGCTGTGAAAATTTGTAATTAAGATGGTCTAATATTGGCTGAATTTTATAAAGTTTAGCCTGGGGTCGTGTCAGCAATGAGGAATCACAATTGTGGTTATTGTTAAAATGCAGGCATTTCGACAGCAGCTGGAATCTGTCATATGTCATCTCAGTGGAGAAGCCAGGTGTGCTAAAAATATCTTTAGAGGTAGTCCAGTACTCCTCTAATCGGCTTTTGACGACCATTCCCATAGCCAGAACGATGGCAAGATACGTGTAAAGTTCGTTTACATTCGTATCTTGCCAACGAGTAATCCGGCTTTTAGGACAGATGGTCCCATTCTCCAACATGCTAGAAGCCAGCTGCTGTGCGTAAATGTTGGTTTCCGAAACAATCACTACCATAATTTCACGATCCCATATGGCAGTAAATGCTTCGTATGGATTCGTGAAAGAAACCGTAGGACCACTAATTTGCGAGAATGGTTCTCGCCTCAAATGAGGTTCAATTTGAGGCATTGCAAACGCTCTCCATTCAAATGAAAATTTATTGCTCGGCTCAATAGGAGTCGGCGGTACATGCGTCGACGAGGCGGGCGTCGGTGAAACGGGCAGTGGTGAAACGGGCGTCAGTGAAATCGGCAAGGCGGGTGTTGGGTCACAAACGGAAGAATGAGGCGGTTGAGGAGGCCACGCCAAGGAAATGTTGAGGCAACCTTCCTCAACTTCTTCATCCTCTTCGTCCATATACATCCTTGCCACTCGAGGCATAACTATGGACGGAGTTATCCCGTCATCCTCTTCTTCAGACTCTTCCTCGCTGCCTGAAAGAAAAAAGTTACAAGTTCTAGTTTCGATTGTAATAAGTGTTTAACTTCCGCGATTGCTGAAAAATAAAGGTTAACGTTAAAACGCACTTACCATAATTTAGTTTACCGCCTAGTTCGTAATCGCCGAGTGGTTTACCACTGGATGAAGGGATTCTAAAAAAAAAGAGAAGAGTATTTTAATCGCACCACATTCAACGTATCTGCAAAAAATGCATTTGTTAAGATGGTTATAACAATTAAAAATAATAAAAAGAAACAAGTAAATAGTTACAGGGCAGATGATGGCACTGACGACGGGGCCTCTTGTTCGCGAGAGATGGATGGCGTTGATAAACACAAAGTTTCTGATCTGAAAATAATTATTTTGCTACAATTTTAAATATATTTGATTATTTATAAAAGCAACGAATAAATCAAACAATCGAAAATAAATATAATATTTATTTTCAATATTATTATAAATAAATATATAAAACAATCAGAATGTTAACCTTGAGCATTTGGCCACAGAGCTAGGGAGGACCCTCACCATTTTAGGATGAATTGCCGTTTCCAGAGGTTGGCCTTCTGGCAGGTTCTCCAACATACCACAGACTACTCTGAAATATTTGTAAGCATTAAAGAAAATATTTTAAAAAAATCAAAATAAAGAAAATTAAAAAAAAAAGTTAAAATCAATAGAACACATATTTTGTGGGTATAGTATTAGGAGGTTATTACAGTTCAGAAACCGAAGGCTTGTCAGGAAGAAGACCGCCACCACGTTGCCCACCGCGCGTTCGAAATTCTCTGACACCGCTACGTGCTGCCATGCTGCCACGTGAAAGCATACCACAACTACCTCTAGCACGCCGTGACTACGCCCACGGGTTTCGTGATTGTTGTTAGTACTATTTCAAGCAAAACAAGGTCACAAAAACAAACTGCATGCAAAATAGACATTAATAATAGATATCAATATAAATTATTAATCTCATTAAAATGCAAAGAAAACAATAAAAATAAATCAAATGGATAAAAAAATAAAAATCTGAATTGAAATTCAAGTCACTTCTATATTAGTCTACTAACAGCCATTTTGTGACACAAATTCGCCTATATGTGGTGAATCCCATAACAGGACTTTGTGTCTCCTTCCCTTTGAGCGCGGAATTTTCGCCTTTACGATTAAAATACAGGTATTTTATAATAATTTGAATTAAGTTTAATAAAATAGTGATCATACACTCACTTGGATGTTAGTTCAGACTATTTTTTTTATTAAAATGTAAAGAATATATAAATTTTAGTTAACAAAAAGAAATATTACTTACTGTTCCATGATTTATTCAGTAGAATTCACCAAAACTTACAATATTTAATCAAACACAAGCACCAATTCGCGGCAATCACTGACAAAATCGTTCATAAACCGAAACATTGATTTCCAACTTTTTTTGTACCAAAGTCGTGCTAAATTATATGCCAGACGGAGAATTGGCTCTCCGATTCCTAAACGATTTTTCATCTGTGCGAAGGAATAAGATCTTTATAGGCGTTAAAACAAGGTCCGAAATTAAGCATGGTCATCACACTGTGACTCGTCCTGTGAGTAGACACCTCACATACTTGAGTAAATTATTGTGTTCAAATAAATATCCATTCTGGTACATTACACGATGTGACTACATCAGAGGTAATGTCAGAAAATTTCGTGAAAGTATTGTGAATCTTAGCTTTGATGTATACTTATCAGACAATCCTAACACTGCTTTTGACTATTTTTATGAAGCTTTTAAATTATATTACGATCTTTGCTTTCCGACGATGACTATTAAAATACAAACAACAGTGAGGATAACTCAAAAAAATGAGTAAGTAAACGAAAGCGTGAGTTATTGCGACAATTTAGACGGACTCCTAATGTAAGTAGTATTCTAAACGTTTTCAAAAAATTGATAAATTGACGCAAAAGTCACAAAACACTCACTATTATCCATAAATAATATAAAATATCATAAATTTATGACTGCATCATTAAATCACAAAAAATGACTTATAGAAATCAATACAGGAATACTTAAAACAGGTTAATGATACTATATCACCAGTAATTGCACACATAATGAATTTATGTATTGAATCTGGAATTTATCCATCCACAATTTGAAAGTAAGTATCATAAAAGTACTCTTTAAAAAGGGTGATAAGGAAAACATTATCAACTATAGACAAATTGCGTAAATATCGATTGTTTCAAAAATACTAGAATAAGTGATAAACAAATCAATTTATGACTACATCGAAAATAATAATTTGTTTGCAAAAGAACAACAAGAGTTTCGGAAAAATAAAAATATTAATATGGCGTTATTTGAATTTGTCAGTAAAATTATTAACAACATGGATTCAGGAACACAAGTAATAGTCTTATATATGGATATGAGGAAAGATTTCGATTTAGTTGATCATCATATATTATTACATAAATTATATAAGTATGGAGTTCATGGAAATATACTCGAGCTTTTAAAATCATATCATAGTAATAGGAGGACTCAAATTTATAAAATATGTTATAAAACCCAATTTGAAAAAAATATTCTTCTCGACTGAGAAAGAAAAAGGCGTGGCGTTTCTCAGGGTAGCGTATTAGGACCGTTCTTTTTCTTATATACATAAACGACCTTCCAAAATCCATACAGCGTCAGTTGGTGATGTTTGCAGATGACAGTACTATTTATGAAAATTGTAACATTGATTATGAAAATGCTATCAATTACGAGTTTAACGAAATAATTGAATGGGTAGAAGGTAATAAATTAATGATAAATTTAGATAAAACAAAATGCATCAATTTTAAGCAAAGAAAAAAAAAATTGGTGATATTCAAATAAGACACTCAGGGATACAAATAGAGGAAATAGATAATACTAAGTTTGGCATATATATTGGTAACAATATGACTTGGGATACCATTCTTATTATGTGTGCGAAAGATTGAATAAATGTTTGTATGCTTTATACATGCTAAATAAGGTTCCTGATCAATCTGCACTATTAACTGCATACCATGAATACATAACCTCAGTATTAAGATATGGCATTCTTTTTTGGGGACTTTCTTCTAATAAAGGCAGAATCTTTTAAGCACAAAAAATTGTATTCTTGCTATATCTAATCTCCGTCCTACAGACTCGTGCTACCCCTACTTTAAAGAATTAAAAATTTTGACTTTGCCCTGTATGTACGAATTTGAAGTAGCAAATTTTGTAAAATCTAATTTAATATTATATGAAATTTTTTTATCTAAACGACATAAAGACTTTTTACGTCAAATGGCACATCAAACTGCATTATTTAATAATAATATAAACAGTATTGCTACTAAAATATATAATAAATTGCCTTAGCACCTAAAACAGGTAGATAAGGTATCACAGTAAATATCAACCCTAAATATTTTTTTATTACAAAAGACTTATTATAGCGTCAACAAATTTTTAAGTGACACTGACATTTAAGTTATATTCATAATTACTTTGATAAAAAATATTATGAATATAATGTCATTTGATTATTTAAATTTTTATTTTGGATTATTGTATGATTTTAATTTTATTTGTATTACATTTGATTGCTGTGTTTTGAATTAATTGTGGTTAACGTGATGGTTAATTTTTTTGACAAATGGTTGTAATTCTGACAATTGGTTAGGCTAACTATTAATCAAAAAACATATTTTTCTGATATTTAACCATTTGTCAAAGATTTTAACAAATGGTTGAGTTAACCACGGATCAAAAAACTGGCCCTTAATGAATTTATTATTTATTATTTAATGATCTAATAAAAAAGTCAGTTATTTAATTTTATTAAATTAGAATCTAATTATAATTATATTACTATTCGCAAGCCATTAAAAATGGCATATTACATAATCTTTAGACATTTCAAGATCTGTAAATGTGTATTCTGCAAATAAAATTATTTGATTAGATTTGTATTTGGACAGAATCTCAAATTCGTGCTTGATTTTGCACATGTGCGTGAACTGAAAAAAGGTTAAGCAACACCATTTAAGACTTACGTTTTTTCATAGTTGTACTTCTTCCTCTTCGTTGGTTTTTTTTTCGGTTTAGGATTGAGAATGTGCTCGGGAATGGGTTCAGAGAAAGCCAAAATTGTTTCCTTTAGCAGCACATCTTCACCTTCCTCAACTTTGATCTTCTTGGTAGAGTCCTGGTTCTTGCGTGCCCGTCCTCGTTTCTTTGGGACATCAATCTGTGATCATTGAACAAATGTAAATTTGTTACACCCCTTTACTCTTTTACCATTATCAACTGTTTTGAGTTCAGCTGTATCATCTGTTTTCTTGTTTTAAGTTATAGAAAGTAACATTTCATTTCATACAAAAAAAATAGAGCACTTTTTCAAAATTAATTTACATTTATGTGTAGGTTATAGCAAAATTTGTGGGAACTGGGGATTATAAAATTTATTTATCTATTATATTGCATTTATAACAGTTAAAGTTTATATGTAGATCTCTAATCATTAAATTATGAATATTGAAACATTGAACATAAATTTGATTTACTGGACTCGCTAAGTACTAAAATTTGTTACAGTTATTTAACAGTTAATATTACACACCTGTTCTTCCTTCTCAATAGTCTCATTATCAGAGCCATTATCTTCTTCAACACCTGGGTTGAAGTCTGGATCATCAATGCCTTCAAAATCTGAATAAAGAAAATTATATTGTCAAAGTCTGAAGTTACTTTTGAATACAAATAAAAGTCTTCACAATAACCATACTTTTATTAAGATTTTTTAATGATTTTAGATATTAATTTTTAATTGATAATTTGTATTACATTTACATTTTTTGATCAACATTTTTTTTTTCAACTCTACTTGTCAAAGATGGTCCATAAGCATTGTCATAATTGATTAATAGTAATTTATATCTTATTTATATTATCTCACTAGCTTTCGCCAGCAGCTTTGCCCATGTGGTCCCTAGGAAGATGTTTATAGGGATAAAAGTTATCCTATTATCTAAGTAAGCTAATAAGCGTCTGTATACCAAATTCCATAAAAATCCGTTCAGTAGTTTCAGCATGATTGACAGACAAACATCTAAACAAAGAAACTTTCACATTTATAATATTAAAAGCTTTATATATTATAGATTAAAAGAATTAATAAGATTATTTAAAATTCAGTTGACAATGTTGTTATAGGCATAGACAATTTAATTTCTTTGAGTTGTTTGTGATGCATAACCACTCAAAGTAATTAAATTGGATGTTATGTAATTGGCTGTTATGTAAAATGTTGCCCTAATGGATACTATTATTCAGAGAAATAAATACTTTAAGTATGTACTCATACTAAACTTAGAAATTATTCTAAAATATTATCTGGCAGAATCAGTAGCAAAATCATTTTGTTTCACCAACCCTCATTTCCATTATCTTCTTCATCAAGTGGCTCCTGTTTCAAATCCAAAGATCCTGAAGCAAGTAGTGTTGTGAGAGCTTCTGGTTCCTTTGCTGCTTGCTTTGGCTTTTTTCTTTGATAAGGTGATAAATCTAAGGAAAGAAAAATGAATGTAAAATTTTTCTGTTATCCAATTTAATAGTATAACCCAGGAATAAAAATTTACTAAGTGCTGGAGGGTACTAACTTATCCCACACCTAGATCTAAACTAAGACAACTCAAAAAACTAATGTGGAGGTCTGACAATACATTTGTTTACATGGCAGGAGCGCGACCACTGTTGATTCAACAAAAGAAAACTAAAGTTATCTTGCGGCTCATCCCCAAACTTTTATTGAATCTGTTATGTTGGATAGATGCGTATGATCACAGAGAATTTGAATATTGTACTAAGTCAAAACTCAATCAAATTTTTGAGCTGTCTCAGTTTAGATCTAGGTGTGCGTTATGTTGAAATGTGAATGTTGTGTTTCTGACACAGCTTATCTTAATTCTACTCAAAATACATAACAAAAGTGCTCAGCTTAACACAATGACCTAATAACCCAAACAATTTACCTTAACTGTAAAACTGAAATTCGAATTCACAATTATAAATTTTCATAATTATCTTTAAAATAAATGTTACCTAATTAAGTATGAATAGGATACTTACCAATTTGTCCTTGCTCATTAGGATATTTCCTAGGCCGGCCACGTTTTTTAGGACCAGGTGCTTTTGTAACCACAGTGGCAATATTTCCAGATTTAGTGAGTGTTCGAGTCCATTGTGCAGATGGATCATGTTCCACAGGCAACTCATATTGAAGAAGGAAGCCATTCTCCTGTTTTATAGTTATTGTTTCAGTCTCTGTGGCTATAAAAAAAATAAAAATAACATAAATATACATAAACAAAATTTAACAGTTGCTGTTAAATTAGGATGATCTAAAAGCTTACCTTTGGATGTATTGGGATTGCTGCTGACTGCAGCTGTACTTTTTATAAACTCTTCAAGACATTCTTTAAGAGTGTCATTTGATGTAAGACATTGTTGTTTGAACTGGTACGCATATGTAAGACGATCAACACAAGATAAACAAATTAGCGTAGGCAATGAATCGTTTTTAGTGATCTAGAAGAAAAAAATTAAGATGAAAATGAGGAGTTCACAATAAACTTTCTATAAATTGTTGTTAGGGATGTCAGCAAAAATAAGGAAAATAACCACAAAAACGTAATATAGCAACATTAAAGTAGGAAAAAATTATAGGGTGGCCATCGCAACCATTTTGGTGTGGTAATTTTTGGTACCTCAATGCCGCAACAATACGTGTACTTGTCGCTGAGTTGTTCGTTATTTTCATCCCAATCGAATAGGGAAACCATGTCACCTGTCTCTAAGCACACTCTACATGTTAATTGCCAATCCATGTTAGAATAAAATTCAACAATACTGGTAGATTCACGTTATTATTATAATATTTTCCTCAAACCGGAAACTAAAATATGGCAAATACGCCAACGTAAGAAAATGAACACTGCGCGTCATTTCCTACGTTCCGTTATATGCATAGTGTACATCTGAAGGGTATTACTAAAGCCTATTTTTATTAATATTATCTGGTGATATACAGAATAATGCTATTTATTAATTATCATGCAAATAATGAATAAATATTGGATTGTTTATTTTTCTGTTCCGGGTAAGATAGTGTTTAATATTCTTTATGGTTAGATAAACAATGAGGAAGTATTTGAAAAAAACGAAAGCACTAAAAAAGCACCTCCACTAGATGACGACTCTAGCAAAAGTTGATTTTTGCAGGAAACGAATGGACCAAAGTCAGTCATTTCCGTTCCTTTAACTAACAAATTTAAAAACTGAAATTTGAAAAATTCGAAACTTAGATAACAATACAAATACGAAAATGTACAAATAGAATATGAGTTGTTTATTGCGTTTTGAAAACTAATTTACTTTTAAACTGTATTTGGTCCATTCGTTTCCTGCAAAAATCAACTTTTGCTAAAGCCGCCATCTAGTGGAGGTGCTTTTTTAGTGCTCTCGTTTTCTTAAATACTTCCTCATTCTCTAAATTCTGATCTAAGTAAGAGGGGCGTGACCTCACAGGATCTTTGCGTTCACATGAAAACGAGTAAAAATTTTTATTTGTGTTTTCAAATATAATAACTGAAGAAACGCTATATTTACACACTAAACGTCAATCTTCTCGTGGCGAAAGTTAGATGTTGTAAGGATACATTTGAAAAATATCATATTTAGGTGTAGACATACTCGAGAAACACTTTGTCTACACCAAATGTCACTTTTTTGGATACAGTTCGTCGTATATACGTGCAGATTTAGATTTAAAAGGAATAATTGAGTTTATATCATCAATCCATCGTTGAACCTTTTTATAAGTATTGAATGGGCTAAATTATTAACAATCTTTGAAACGGAACGCTGATCAGGTCTACCAACTGCACATTTCTCCCCCACCCCGTCTCCCTCAACATAAACGTCAAATGCAAATGTCTACAACAAATTACAACAATAATAAACACAATGAAATTCAATAAAAACATCCCGGAAAAGAAATAAGTTTCATAAAAATGGAATTGTTTAGATCGGATCAATATTATATATTTGTGAGAAATGAATCAAGTTTATGGTGGAATCGATTAACTGGAGGTTTTTCTGTGAGATCAGGTGCTTGATTTATATTTTCATTTTATACGTTTTTCTTGCTGTTTGACTTAGTTAATGCATGTAATTAGGAAAATACATTCTTTGTTTTCCAGAGTAATAGATCATACAAATTTGAGAGATACAATTATTTGATATCTTTGAACTTTAAGTAATTTTCCCTTTATTCAACTTAATGGTTCGTTTTAGCATGGGATCTTTCTGATATCGAGGATATTGAATGCTTAGGCGTCACAGATGGCATTATTGGTCAAGTGGAGCATTCTAATATATTCGAACCAAGTCTGATGATAATAAAAGAAAGTGTGCCAGTTGGACAAATTTATTTTCATCACACCATCTATAAAATTAAATCAATATGTTTCTTGAATATGGGTTCAGCAAATCAGGATATAGAACTTTGTCCTTGTACAAAACATGGTTCCTCAAACTCTGTCTCAAATGCAACGAGTCTGATAAACAGGAAAATGGGTGGGCGTTTATTTGAAAACTCTGCATTCTTAAACAAAACTGTGGGCGCAGTAAAAAATGTAAGCAACACTATCAAAACTACTACTCAACAAGCTGCAACGCAGGTAAAAAATTTTCAGAAATCATTTGTATACATTTTTCTTGCTGTCATTCAGTAGTATTATAATATATACTTATATGTTTGTATCATACAAAGAAAATTTTGGCAAAAAAGTTGAGTGTTTGATTACAATAACTAAATTTTACAATAATCATAAATTTACAAAACAATGACAGTAGTATAGACCTTAAACATTGATAGATGAAAGAAAAAAAAATATATTTTAATGATTTTCAATAAATTTGAATTCTATAGGTGAAGCAAAGTGTTAAAAAGCAAAGAGATCCAAAGTTAGCAGAGCGTTTTGAGAAACGTTTAACAGATGAACTACATAAGATCTTTGATGAATCTGATAGCTTCTACTACTCTCGTACACTGGACTTAACAAACAGCCTGCAAAGACAATATGAAATTGAAAAGAAACTTGAGGCAGAAGATGGTACAGGAAAGCCAGTTACTGATATAACAAGATGGTGGAAATATGTAGATGACAGATTCTTTTGGAATAAACATATGCTGAAAGATATTATAGCATTAGGGGTATGTTGCTTAAATAAACCTTTAAAAGTAAATGCTGTGTCCTATATCTGTCAGATCTGACATTCTACTACACAACTTCCAAATATGTACTGACCGGCAAACTTTATTTTTAGGATTGAAAATTCAATAACTAAATAATATTGAAACATTATAATTGATAAATTTTATGTAATTCAACTATAATTTGTTTTATGCTGTCTCTATGTACTGTTTTGCTCTGGCTATAACAATGAAAAAATGTTAAAGTAACCACCTAATTTTTCTTGTAGAGTCCTGCTTGTGATCAGTGGATATTACCAATAATCCAGGGTTATGCACACCTCTCGAAAATAGCGGTAGAACCTGCAGATGTGAATCCTCTGAATACAGAATCCCTTGCTAATACTAACACTTGTGATGAGACTTTTACATTAGGAATTATATCGCGGCGGTCAAGATACCGAGCTGGAACTAGGTAAGTATTACACCCGGATTGCTCTAATGATGTCACACCCACAGTAAGCACTAAATGTCCCTAAATAAATCCAGGCCTAGGGTGGATATTAGGGATGACCAATGATAGCATACATTATTGATTGCCAAAAGCAAAGTGATGAAATATGGGGTCTGCACTTTATTACACTACATTATTCATGACAAACTCTCAAATTAATGCAGATTCTTTTACCAAGAAGAAACAGAAAATTATTTTTGACGACATACAAATTAGAGAACTCTGTGCTGGACGCATAGCAGTGATCAAGGATCTAGGATTCATTTTTGATGAGGGTTTATCTTTTCGTGATCATTATGACAAAATGGTATCAAAAAGTTTACAAATGCTGGGCTTTATTGTGAGATCCACAGTTCCCTTAAAAAAAACCCAAATGCTTCCTCTATCTTTACTCGGGTTTGAAGCAATTTTGAATAAGCATCTGTAATCTGGTCTCATCACTATGAAATACACTCCCAAAGATTAAAAGAGTACAGAGGAAATTAATGAAACTTGGTAGAACCTTAACATCTTACACTGAAAGATTGGATCATTTTAAAGTTGCAGCTTTAGATATCCGCAGAAAACAGCAGGATCTTTTAAAATTCAACACTAAGCTGCTCTCACAAAAACGTAAGCAGAGACTATTTGTATTGCAAACCTTTAAAAATAACACTTCTTACTTTAACCCCATTGTAAGAATGTGTTGTCTCAAAACTGAATATGATTTATTTACACCCAAGTATGTCGCCTTCAAGTTTCAGGTTAGGTATGTTCTCGAAGTTCTTTCCAACAACTAATAAATTAATAAACACCTTTTGAAAAGAAAGTCTACAAATTTGTGTATATTGATTATCTTTATACAGGTTTTTTCTACTTTATTCGATTGTAACCTGTTGTGTGAACCTTTTTTAATAAATAAAAAATTATTATTAATCCACATAGTGCTTCATAATTCATAAGTAATAATTTGTTAATAGCTAATAAACATATATTTATTAGCTAAAATAATTTTAGTCACATTATACTAACTCGTTACAACTTCCATTAATATTTATGTTATCAGTATTTTCTTACATCTTCCATTTGTATATTGTTAATAAAACCCCAAGTGATTATAGTTTAATTTTGATAACACAAAAGGAACAAATTTGAATAGTACATATTTAGTGAGAGGGAACTTGTTTGGTTGGACTTTACGAAAAACGGCGATAGGTCTGTACTCTGTTATAAGGGAACGCTCAAATCTATCAACACTAATGAGCACGTTATCTACAAATAAAGGATATAAAATAATAGTCCATTGTGATGCTTCTTGTTTTGTTGTTGTGAACTATGAAGATTATTATCTATTTAGGAATAAAGTACACAGATAAACAAATTTTTTAACTTCAAATAAAAACGCAATTGATTCTAAAAAGTGTTTTAGTATTTCCAAAAAATCATAATTATGGTAGTTGTTATTAACTAGCGGTAAGCGCAATATAACTGCGCAGTTCCTTTCCTTTAATGTTATTGTAACTAGAGCATAGCCTCTCAGCACCGTTAGTCAAGCAATAGCAGACCACGGTTACCAAAATGGTTAAGTAATTCTTTTTAAATCTAAATTTCAATGACTCAAGGTTTAAAATCGATCAGAATTCATCATCATTTTATTTTAGGTAAGAAAAATATGAAAACTTAATGGTTACTTTTTATTTTATTTATAATGGCCTACAGATTTAATGTTTTAATAGGGTGGGAATAGATTATAAAATATTAATTTATCATTCATCTCTGATCTCTCAAACTACAGAAACTGAAATTTATTACCATGTTTAAAACATACAGTACAGCGCTGTTCATAAACAAGGTTTTGCGTCAGAGTAAATTTACACTAAAATTGCAATTTTAGTATTAGTCCAAATTCATATTATACAAAGAATAAGCAAACCTACCACCCTTCTAGGAGTATGTATTACTCCCGTAGAACATCGTACTAGGTTAACCTTTGCTTAGTCTCTGTTTAATAATATGAATTTTTACTAATACTAAGTGCAGTCTCATCGTAAATTTACTCCAATGCTAAATATTGTTTATTAATAACACTGGCATTGTTTAATTTCTAAAACAGGTATAACCGCCGCGGCATCGAGCCGGGAGGTAAAGTCGCCAACTACGTAGAGACAGAACAGATCGTTTCTATAATATGCTCCGATAGCATCCACAGGGCTTCCTTCGTGCAGGTAAATTTTAAATGCTACGTATCCAATAGCGGCCAAAAGTTATAAAAATTTTGCAGCCTCTACGCTAGCAATCATTTATTACTTTTTTACGCTCCGGGACATAGCCATTTGGTCCTAGGGTAAATACACCCCTGTATTTATATCGCTAGTTCTACATTCTAAACTTAACAATAACTCGCCAAAATAATATTTCAGAATCTTGTAAACACAATTCTCGCGATTAACCTTCAAATGTTAATGGATAATACATTCCGTTTGTATTATTATGACGATTTCTAATATACATTTCATTATATGTGTATTACAGAGTTATATAAGGTGCAAACAGCACCAAATAGTAATGCCTGATACTATATGAGGGTATTCTAACTCTAAAATCTGCAGTATGTATTTATAAAGCTAGTCAATAAAAAAAAAGGCATCTAATAGTCACGCTTCGTTAGATATACATTTTGTAGTTTTTCTGATCTGAAAATAGAATAGATCTCAAATAATTCTAAAGTTGTCGTTTTACACTCGTGTGGCAATGAACTTGAAAGTGAATGAAATTGTTTGAAAAGGATGAATAGTTTATAACCTCCTATATTATTTATATATGTGTGTGTGTGTGTGTGTGCGTGCGTGTGTAACTATACGTCTTAAAAATTATGGTACAATAGAGGATTGTATTTTTCAGGTGCGCGGGTCAGTGCCAATATTCTGGAGTCAGCCTGACTTAAAATTCCGGCCGCCGCCCCGTCTGGATAGAAGTAAATATAGCAATTTTGTAATAAGCTTCCAATTGTAATGAATATTAAATATATAAATATTAGACAACATCACGTTCATTGCTCATATTCTAAACTAAATAGCTAAAAACTTTGTATTGTTAAAATCTGAAACAATAACATCTAGATCCGAGAGTTTTAAAGGAAACTTCATTTCCTAAATGAACTTGACAAGGCTTCGTTCCTGGGAACTCGCCAATGGGGAATGCCTCGCTACTACGGTGGTTGTATATTAAAAACACCGTCTATAGAGGATATTTTGAAGATACGAAATTTTGATTTGTAGTGTAATAAATATTTGTTACTCAACTAACTAGTTGTGTAATACTCGCAATGATTCTTACTTTCAAAATTGTATTAATATGAGTTGCTTCATATTATCACGATCTAAATGATTTAGAGCGTGAAACTTACGGCAATTTGTAACCTATGTATGATCATGTCATACATAGGTTACAAATTGCCGTAAGTTTCAATGATCATGAGTAGCGTTCTTATTAAATATTTGGATTTTTAAAGACTTGCAGTCAATATGGTAGTTTGGTAGTAAAAAATAAGTCACGAAGTTGCACAAAAACTAATTTTTACATCGCAATAAACATAGAGATTCTGATTTTGAGTCATAAAGTCGCACAATTATGTTAAAAATTTAAGTCGAGGTTTTGTCTGTGTCACGTGACTTGAAACACGACCCGCCATCGTGTGACGTCACTGTGGTGATAGCTGTCGGACATAAAGATATGTCTATTAATTATAAGTCTAACTCCTAGATGGCGCTGCTCTTAGCTTATCTTTATCGTTTTATTTCGTAATGTCGTTAGATGGCACTGTTCTCATTTTATTAATATCTTTTCTACTTTATGCATCTCTTTTGTATCTATACCACAATGATGTCATGAATATGCCGGACAGCGTTTTCGGGGTATAAAAAAGGTTATATTGTGATATATATTTAAGGCGGGAAAACGTGTTTATTTTTTCGAAATATTTGTTTTATGGCTGTTTTAAATTAAATTAATTAAATATTATTTAAAACAGCGTAAAATATCCTATTGGAAATCTCTTACTATGAATACATATTGATTTAACTGACGAGTTCACGAATACAATTTCTTTTTTCGATAGCCGAGGAAGAGTCTCACGTCGCTTTCAAGAAACATTTCCAAGAAGAGTTGTGTCTATACAAACAAGTGTGCATTATCAACTTGGTAGAGCAGCAAGGTCGCGAGCGCATCATATGGGAGGCGTACGGCAACCATGTCCTCAAATATAACAGTCCTGATATCATTTACGCCACTTTCGACTTCCATGAGTATTGGTAAATATTTTTTAATGTAATTATCCCTAGAAGACATCTCTATCTTTATATAAAACTTACAAACACATCTCAACCTAGTAAAAAAATATACCGCGCCTAATGCCTGATTAACATGCATTAAGTATTAGAATGAACCTTGTTTTTATTGAGTTCTCGATATTTCGGCGCTGTTACAAGCGCCACGATCACGGGGTAACTGAAGTTTTTGCGGGTGGGTATCATAGCTACCTTCTTTTTAATCTTTTTTCGTTCGATAACACTAGCCGACAATGGTTTTTGCTCTGAAATAAAACTTATATATTTTGGTTCCTATTAGTAAGTATGTCCTTAGAAAAATACTGAAAAAAATTCCTCAGGTCCGATTACGAAAATATGTTTTTTTTTAAATGACCAAAAAACGACCAGTTGACCACTTTAAAAATTGTTTTCTTCTCACTAACTTATCGCCTATCGCAACTAAATGTTATTTATTCCTCCTATAGGTGTTCTGAATTAAACTACCCACATTCTGATTAATAACTACGTCAGCTGTTGTTTTGGTTAGGTAAAAGTACCGTCAATTAGTGATATATTTTGACACTTTGCATTTACGTCGTTAACTCGTACACATCTCAAATTTTTTCCTTGTTTTTGCATTAAATTGTTTAAGACAATGCCCAGTAAGTGTAAAAATTCGCCAGATTTATTTTGTTTTGTGTGTGGAGACTTTAATCCACGCTCAAGTTCGAAAAAGTTTTCTTCCACGACTGTTGGAAGCGTATCGTTTGCACTTTGGATTTGGCGCTGAAGAAAGTCTAAGTAAACCTTGGAGTCCGAGTTTATTGTGTTCAAGATGTTCAAGGTACCTCGCAGGATGGCTTCAAGGTACTCACACACCATTGCCGTTTACTATGCCAGCTATATGGCGAGAACAAAAAATCATGTAAATGATTGTTATTTTTGTCAAACTAACATTACTGGAATGAAGTCGAAGTTTAAAAATATTATAAAGTACCCCGATGTATCGTCTATGTCAAAACCGGATACCCTACAAACTTCAACGACCTCAACTTCTGACGAACCGTCAACTTCATGTGGTAGTCGTGGCTTAGAAAGTCATGTTGATGTTTGTACTTCCGATCACGCTGATTTTGACGACGATGACTATGAGCCACCAACAAGGTCAACAACAGAGCCACATCTGATAACTCAAAGTGAACTAAATGATCTGATTCGTTACCTTGATTTACCAAAAGAGAAATCAGAACTTTTAGCTTCTAGATTAAATCAATGGAATTTATTGCACCTGGAGACAAGAATCTGTAGTTATCGAAAACGACATAGTAGTGTTGTGGATTTCTTTGAAAAGGAAAACGATCTAGTCTATTGCAAAGATGTACATGAGCTTATGAAAAAAATGTCTTCTACCTATTCACCTGATCAGTGGAGACTATTCATTGATTCATCGAAAATAAGTTTGAAGGCGGTTTTGTTGCATAATGGTAACGAATTTCCGTCTGTACCTCTAGCACATGGAGTGCATGTCAAAGAAACCTATGAAAATCTCAAAAATCTACTACAAAAAATACAGTATGCAGAACATTCTTGGAAGATTTGTGCTGATTTAAAAGTAGTTGGGATGTTACTAGGCATGCAAGCTGGTTACACAAAATTTTGCTGTTTTATTTGCGAATGGGATAGTAGAGCTCGAGGCAAACACTATATCCAAAAAGAGTGGCCAAAAAGAACAGACTATGTACCTAATCAGAAAAGTCCAATATTCGTCTTGTTGTGCCCGAGAATATTTTATTGCCACCCCTTCATATAAAATTAGGATTAATGAAAATTTTTGTAAAAGCCATGGATAAACAGGGAAAAGGTTTTCAATACCTCAAAAGTATATTTCCGAGACTTAGTGATGCGAAACTAAAAGAAGGGATTTTTGTGGGGCCAGACATACGACGAGTTATGAAGGATCAAAACTTTGTCGCCAAATTAAATACGTTGGAAAAAAGAGCATGGTTTTCGTTTGTTGAGGTTGTAAAAAATTTTTTGGGTAACACCAAATCATCCGATTATGAACAACTTGTATCAAGCCTTCTGACGAATTTTCAGGCTTTAGGCTGTAACATGTCCCTAAAAATACAATTTCTTCATTCCCACTTGGATTTCTTTCCTCCCAATTTAGGTGCAGTCAGTGATGAACATGGGGAGAGATTTCATCAAGATATTTTGAATATGGAGAAAAGGTATCAAGGCAAGTGGACTCCTAGCATGCTGGCAGACTATTGCTGGACATGTTTACGTGATAATCCTGACTACCAATACAGCAGAAGTTCGAAGAAGTACAAAAAATATGAATTATAGGGTAAAGATTTGTAACATTAAAAACATTGTTTGCAAAAACTCTTCTTTTATTTTTCTCTTAACCTGGACCTAGCAATTTTTTTTTTATATTTAGATTATATATGTACCATATCAAAGCAACATAAAAAAACAAGTTTGGTTTCAGAGCAAAAAAAAGTGTCCAAATTGTCGGCTAGTGTAATCGTACCACTGTTCACTATGTCTAGTGCTAATAAGTGCCAATTAGATAAATATAAATATCTGCCTACGACATCCACCCGCAAAAACTTCAGTTCCCCCGGGATTATGGCGCTTGCAACTCAATAAAAACTATGTAAATGACCATGAAAGCTTAAAACAACATAACGTATTAAGTGGTCAACTTAATTATCAATTTCATACTTGTAAACCGACAATTATAAAATGTTATAACCATCCATTAGATTAAAACAAAATAGCGGAAGATACTTGTCCTTAAATTGACGATTTATAAACTACATGCTCGTGTATTACAATAGTTGTGATCTTATTTAACGTTATGAACCTGTGGTTACATATTGTGAATCAGCCGCGGCATGCACTACGAGAACGTGAGCATACTGATCAACGCTATAGCGGACGTGATCGGTGAGATGAGGTTCTGTTGGCGCGACGACCGCGGCCTGATCTGCGCGCAGAACGGCGTGTTCAGAGTCAACTGTATCGACTGCCTTGACAGAACTAACGTTGTACAGGTCAGTTTATATATACCCTATAATATATACAATAGGGATGACGACTATTTTTTGTTTGTTTGTCCGTCAGGTAGTGTGTAAAAAAATATTGAACACGTATTTTTTTATTTTTTTCGTAATCATAAAATTACGGCGTTATATCGAGTTGAAATTTCGCATGACGTCACGTTATGGTACGTTTTCTACTAAACTGTGACGTAGCGAGCCCCCACTCCTCAACTTTAATGCCTGTTATCTAACCTATTTCTTGTTAAATTGAAGTAAAAAAAAAAAATACGTATCTAATATTTTTCTATTATCTGACTGACGGACTAAATAGAATTGCATTTTTTTTACCCAGTCGTCATCCCGTCAGCAGTTTTACGTCCAGTCCAGTCGAATCGGTCGTGCTTTCCAGCCGTTCAAACGATTGTATCTATATCTTTTAGTAATAAAGTTAACACTTAAAATGGTTTGGCATTACTTTATCTACATTAATATTATAAAAAGGAAAGGTTCGTTTTTTTTCCGAAACTATTGGGCCGATTTTAAAAATTCTTTCATCTACGGGATCTAAATCATATGTGGTAAACATAGGCTATATTTTATCCCTAAAAACAACAAATAAAGGGATGAAAATGGGAGTGGAAATTAGTATAGGGAATTTAAACGTTAGTATAGGGTAGTAATTAATTTTTATTTTTCATTGTAATTATATCCATGTCATGATATTAATTGATATCCAAATAAATAGTTCCCTACAGACCACGCCTGGGAAGCCGCTGACGGAATGCTGATATCTAATCAAAATCGTTCAAATAATTTCTTACAGACAGCTATAGCTAAGTATGTGCTAGAACTGCAACTGTGCCGTCTAGGGCTCGGTACTCCAGGCAGCGGTCTACCTCCAGCGTTACGAAACGCTTTCCTCACTATGTGGGCTGACAACGGGGATATTATATCACGCCAGTATGCCGGCACGAAGGCCCTAAAGGTAATAAAAATAAAGTTGAAATTAGATTGACTGATTATAAATTTTAAACGTAAATTATGATCCATGAAAAAGTATTAAGTAGTGTAATTAAAACCTTCTTGGTCCTTTTTTTGCTTGGATAATAATGTTCAAACAGGCTGTAAACACCTGGCTACTCTGAGAAAATATTTTTTTTTATATATTTTATGACTTTATTTGTTATATGCCAATAAACGGATCTGAGTTATTAGGGTGACTACACACGCACAGGAGAAAGAAAACTGACAGGAATGATGAAGGATGGTGTGGCGTCGGCGAACAGGTGCGTTTTTTTGTTATTAATTTGGTTAATAATATAATATGATTAATTTATATTTTAACATATACGCAATGGAAAAAAAATGCTATTACAAATTGGGCATAATTATATTACAAATATGTGTAGGCATTTACCACGTAATTATATTATAACTCAATGAAAGTATTATTCGCGAGAATTTTAATTATTTTGAACATAAACACACATACACTTTTAAATCATTTGGACAACAATCATCAGTGATTTTTGGGTGGCTGCATAGAAACAAATACAAATGCGGACTTTTTCCCGCTACAGATACATCATCCGCCATTTTAATGACGCCATTACACAATGTGCCATAGACATTGCTCTCGGGCAGCCAGTCGATACGGCGACCATAGACAAATTCGACAGTGTCTGGTGGCATTTGAAAACTGCCTCTACGATGATTGTAGTGAATTTGGATACGAATGAACCTATATTAGAAATGATGCCAAGTTACTTTGGACATACGCTGACTAGTGAACTAGCTTCCGCGCAGGTCGCATACGGACTGGGGAGGTCAGTTTATGTTGGTTTCTAAAATTTTACTGTCTTCGCTTACTTATGATTCGTTGCGACCTCCTCACCGTTCTATAAAAATCCAAATATAACTCTACTAATTTATAATTTATCAATTTTTTTAAGAAAATCTATAACTAATAACATTTTTTGTAACCTTTTATTACCCAAGCACACTAAATAAATAGCTGCAATATGTTATTTTATGCACTAACACTTATAATGACTACTGTAAAGTTTAATATTGTAGACGTTTTTGTTTTAAGAACTATAATCATATTTTTCAGTATAGCATTTTGAATGCAAAATTGATCAAATATAATAACTATAATCATGTTGAACAGCCAATGGCAACCTAATATGTACATTAACATTCAATAGGTAAAAACTTATTTCTGAATGCATTCACTTAACTTGACTTATAAGTGTACTCACTTGAGTATTTATTTTTTACTAATTTCGGTAAATTTTGTAAAATGTATTTGCCCAGGACCTGATTTAAGGCCCAGAGCATCAAAAATAGGGTGGAGTCAAAATTGAAAAGGCTCCGAACGGTCTGATGGACCGAAACCCTCAGCTTTCTCTTGGAAGAAAAAAAAAACAGAAAAATTTAATTATCATTAGCTCGATACAATATATATTTTAAATTTCCTTTAAAAATTACAGTTTTGTATACTTTTTCAGAAACTTCCGTAGATAAATATCTATCCGAATATTATACAATTCCCGCAAACTAGCATGTTTAAAATTCCATTTTTAAATTAGCGAGCTCATACTTTGTCTGTAGCGGCTAAATAGCTAGATTGGGTTCATATTACATGTATGTATAATATGTATCTTACCAACTGCGCCATGTCTGTATGAACGTATAACTTAATATTTTAATATACCTAAAAGAAGCGATTTCAAAATTATTGGTTTTAAAATGACATCAAGATTTATGTCACACTGTAGAAACACGAAACCTATTTTTAAAAATATCTAGAAAGATTTTAAAGTTTCGATCAAGTTGTCATCTTTTGGTTCCACTATCCCAAGGTTTACTGGTAGAGAATGTCTTAGCCATTACATGCGCACCTGTATACATGTGCAAAAAGGAGATTGATAATCAATTTATTCGCATCTCATATATGAAAGAAAAATATCTGATCCAAAAAAATTATATAGTTACTTTGGCAAATATGTAAATGTGAATTATCCCTAGGTACTACCTGTCGACGTTCAAGGACGCCCTACGTCAAGTGGCGATTGACGTTATGACCGGTGAATCTCGCTCGATACCGGAACAACTGATCGTGCCCGATTGCACCCGGTGCACTTCTGTCAAGGTGCTAATGTTCAATGTGCGTGCATCCGCTTTAAGCTTATACCCCCCCCCCCTCCCCTTTCTATATTTTACAAGTAAATATTTTCAGGAGTTAACCACCTTATATAATATCGAGTTATCCATTTTGAAACTACGAGGGTCCATTTGACTAATTTCTATCTCTATACTCTGTAGGTACTATCTCTATACTAGTGGGTATATATCAAATGTATGTGAGTGTTATTCGTAAACAACTTTTTTAAATGTCATTCATAGAGTAGGAATTCAATATTTAATTGTAATCTTATTCATTAATACATCTTTGCTGCATATTTGAATGTAAGAAGAGGAAATCATTCATTTCTAAATGCCAAAATATTCGAAAAATCTGTTTATTTACATGTATTAATACTGCCATATTTCCTTATTTATTGTTTGTACCTTAACCTATTCTTGAATCCGTGCACTGTTGCTTTGCTGCCTATGCTGAAAAACTATTTGCTATTGCATTATCTATGACTTAATGGCGTTGATCTATTTTCATACAATATTAGGATCAAGCTGTACCTGACACCGCTGCGATGGCGCAACACGTAAAATCTCTTATCGACGACTGCAAGAAGCTGTTAGTAGATACAGAACCGGTTTTAGGTTCTTGGGGACTTATCGACGCAGATCCGAGGTGAGTTCTTATTAAAAAAACTAGATTCTGTTCATGAGTTGTCTGCATGCCAAAGAATTTTAGTCTTTGATAACATTTGAAAATCTCGTTAGTGAAATTATATAATTACATTTTGTAGTAAGTCTGGTGACTGATCCAAGCAAAAGTTGTAAAACTAACAAGTTAACCATTTCATTGTCGCGAAGAGTCATATGTATAAGGGTTAAAGTGTAAAATCGGAACTTTATGACGTTTGTTATGATACACTCTTCCGTTATGTTTCACACCACTTTCAAAACATGTTTGAGTTTTGAATCTGCATTAGTCAGAAAAATTAAAAAAAAATATTACTTTAATTATATTAAGATGTTAAACCAAAGAAGTTTTTGGCTCTTGAGTAGAACCAAAAACTTTTACGAAGTAGAACGCGTAACACGGGGTTAGAAACTGAATCCGAAGTCGAGACAAGTCAGTGCCAGTGTGTAGCGCTCTCTGCTGGATCCTAAATCCTTCCCCCTAAAAAATGCACCCCGGGGAGGCGTTTAGTAGGTAGTATATTTAGTAAGTATCCAGGGACGGATCTACCTGAGAGCATAATGGTCTTAAGCCCGGGGCACCGTGGATACAATACAAATGCAGGGCCCTTTGACCCCAATAAAATAAGTATACAATTCGGTACTTTTACATTACAATTACTTCAGTAATTATACTTAACAGGGGCCTACTGTTAAGTATTCGCCCCGGGGCCCACAAATTCACGATCCGCCCCTGGATATACCATCCGCGTTTTGAATAACCTTCAGGCAAATCCGTACGAATGGAGTTCCATACAGCCCCTGCAGCGGGTTGTGTTACTGGTTCTGTTACTTCGCTTTTGGCAGTATGTGACGGGTTCTGTTACTTCGCTGTTGGCAGTAAATGAAACGGCTGACTAGGCTGGACAAGTGTATTTAGGGTATAAACAAAAAAACTAACAACAAAAATAAGATAAAAACCGTTTTATTATTTTATTATGATGCGTACTTAAATAAAACAATTACATATCCCGTTTCTGGGTTTTGTTAATAGGTGGAACTTATTAATTCACTTAACGTTTCACTTAACTTTAAATTTTAAGAAAGGAATGATCTTAAATATCAAAGGCACAAAGTTAGGATGCGAAACAAAGGACAAAATAAACAATGTGATACAATACCCAAGTAGCACAAAACACCATTATATCAAACTTATAATAGCACGAGTCCAAGCGTTAAGCATTATAATAAAATCGTATATCAACCGTATTTCTTTTAAACGACTCTTATACGTAAAATTTGGGCCCCCCCTTTGTACGACTTTAAGCTTTATAAAAGCTGTGCAATAGCACTACAACTTTTGTATAATAGCATTAATTAAGTCGGGTAAAAGCATTCTAATAGCCATTAGCATTCTAATAGACTATATTACAATTGATATACGTAAATCAAAATTATAATACGTTAATTTAATGTTATAAAAATGCTTACTGTTTTATTTCCTTTGTAAATAAAGTATATTTAATAGATTTTAAAAACATATAATCGGTTTAAATTATTGTTTTGTGTAAGTGTCATGACATGTTCTCTTGGCTAGTCTTTTAAGTATTTTTGAATATTGATTTAAACAGCTCGTTATGTGTGAAATAAGCTGCAAACATCAGTTTGTGGAGTAAAATATACAAGTTTATGGTGTAAAATACACGCGCCTTCGCAAACTTCCTTTAATATAATAAAAATAATAAAAAATTTAACCTAGTAGCAAAAGATTTTGTTCAATTTTAGGCTTTTTAGCATTGTTTTAACAACATAATTGCTTTTATAGGCATCTGTGCACAAAATAAATTATTATTTACCCCTTTTCATCTGACACAGTTGACTTTAAATATTTTGTAAGAATTGGGAAAAGAAAGCAAATGGCGACTCGTAAATTTAAAGTATTAGGTATTCAAATATAGTGTAGTAGAGCTGTTAATCGTATTATGGTTAGACACAAAACTAAGAACTCGTAATTCATCGTATAACACACTCCCATTTTAGGTACAGCCGTATTTTTATACTTCAGAAGTATCTTATAGTGCTTATAATCATCAAACAATTATTTCATTTTTATTTTGATTTTTAAAAGCTTCAATTAAATTAGAATACTCTTTTTTCAGTTTTCTTTTATATCCACCTGTTTTCTTTGTTTTTCCCAACGTTTTTTGTCCATGGCGCCAGCGATGCGTATAAAATGCCACCATTACAATACATTATATAAAATAATTTTACATTTTAATTTCACATAAAAAATAATTACGATCTATTTATTACTTGTATCTCTATAAATAACTTAATATTGATCAAAATATAGCCTAATGTTTTATAAAAGCATAGATTAAGAAGATAAAGGAGCTTGAGCTTGATTAAAGAATACTTTAAGAACAAATCGGTGCTAAAGTTTTAGTAGTTCTTTATTCAATGTGTATATAGGATAAGCATTAAATCGATACAACCATAGGCCATTAGAAAACCTTTGTTTCTAGAAAATGACTAAATATAACTAAGTGCACTAAATAATATTACGTTAATGCTTATATAATATATAATGTTTTTCATATAACCGAAATACGATAACAGCTTTATATTAATATTACCCAATACTTAAATAGGAGTTTTGACATTGGTATACTTTTTTAATAACCATAATATGGCATTAAGCATTATTAGATAAAATAAATGCCTTTAAACAGATTCGAAACTTGACCAGTGCTGATTAAAAATGTTACTATGACTTTAGGACATAAATCGGTACTTATTTTAGTTAATATATTATTTATGTGCTACTTGGGTACACCGTTACAGCCTTACTTCCGTCATAAAATAAAATCGAGTGCTTGCCTATCTAGAATAAAAAAAAAGGTCAGTGCTGAACCGCTGTAAATTGAACTTTGAAGACGATTGACCTCGTGTAAACTTCTGCATGTCAGGGGGGGGAGCTATATTTTAACTATCGTTCTAATTTGATATCTTTATTGATCAGTACTGGGGATCCGCAAGAGACAGAGATGGATAGTGTACTAGTTTTGACAAGCGAGGCGTACTACGTGGCGGACTACGACGAGACCTCGGACCGATTGCTGTCCGTGCAGCGAGTGCCGCTGCGTGACGTCACCGCCATAGAACTGGGCACTGTCGACACTAGCGCCGCCACTGTACGTATGCACAGGTCTAGGTGAAATAAACTAGGCATAACGGGTAGGCAGCGTAATAACGTCCTGCCTTACGGTGGGTAATAGGGTGGAGTGGTGGAAAAAAAACGATAATAGCTTGCGATTGACCATAGATGATGATTTTATCTTTTAAATAAGAAAATGTCGAAAATATATACCTGTATCGCAGGGATATATTAAATATCAATATTTTCCAAACCATTATACAAATCTAGTAATTTACAAACTTAACATTTCCCGTGATACGATCATATATTTTTACTGATTTTTACTGAGATTTTTACTGGATATACAAACATATAAGCCACCAGTTTCAAGTCAACCGGTTACAAGATTTCGTCATATCTGATGTCCCGGGTTCGTCCCCAGTCGGGTCAAATTAACTTTTCTATAATTGTCTCAGGTTGAGTGTTTGGGACATTTGCTATATCAAAGTTTCATATAAAACAAACTTGTAGGTCCTTGTAATAAATGGGTTCTAGCTACGTAAACCGTGATCAGAACAATCTAGATTTTCCTTAATGTTTATTTAATCTTGCCTCTCTCTCCGTCCGTGTAACGTCCCTTTCATTCGTCATATTACACATAATTGCATATTCACTGTTTTCGGAAAAGTATATTAAACCTTTGATATTGTCATATTAAACCACTATCAGCTTTGTTTTCTCCAAAAAGCATTATTAAATAAAGGGAATCATATTTTTATTTATTAGTTTAAATTGACCCGCGAAAACAATCAATTACGTGCCGTATAGAGCTGTGATGCCACATTTCAATAAACATGAGCACTGGTTGTGACTCTCTATAAAGATGGTGACATTTAATATATTGAATGGTACCTTCGTTAATTTAGATTTCCAATACAAGAAGGCCTACTGTGTTGCTCCGAAAACGAAAATTCGTTTATTTTCGCAACCCTAACACGACTCTAAAGGAACACATTTTTCGATAATTAATAATGTAACGGAGGAAGGACCCTGACACTGCTTCCGATGCACAGATAATATTGACGCTTATGATTTTTATAAAATTTTTGCAATTTTCGTTCGTAGACAAAGTAGCCCCTAAGGTCTCTAGCTATTTAAATTGGGATTTCAATAATGTAGACATTTTCCCTTTCATTCTTTATTTTACACATAATTGCTAACACGCTGTACTGTGTTTGTATATAGATATTCGGCGTCGGTCGCAAGTCGTCCAGCGAGCCTGTGTTCTGCATCAGGTTCCACTACACATACAACGGCGAGGGCGGATACTTCCACATGTTCAGGTCGACGTCGCTTCGGTTCTTCAACAACATGGCTGTCGTTATCAATACCAAAGATGAGATGATCGGTTTGTATTTTTATCGTCATCATCATCACGGTTTTACATCCCCACTGCAGGGCCTCAGGCCATTCTTATGAATGATAAAGGAGGAATGAGTATGATCCTCCACGCTGACCCAATGCGGAATGGAGAGTATCAACGACGACTGCAAATGCAGCCGGGACCAAAGGCTTAACGTTTCTTCCGGAGCACGGAGTAGCTCAAGATATAAATTTTTTGGTCACCCATTCCGTGACTGACCCTTGCGAAAGTTGCTTAATAACAACGATCGTTGGCCGTGGCGCTTATCCACTATGCCACCGAGTTACTGAATTTTTCTTTATCATCATTTATCATTTGTCTGCTAATGCCGCCACTAATGGGGCCTCCTTCTGTCGATAAAATCGCCCTAACCTAACCCAATATTCAGACTTAATGTGGATAGGCGGGTATTAACTGCAGTTGCAACCGGAACTTAAGGCATTAAACGCCTGCCGAAGTATGGAAGAGCTCTAAATAATCTAAATCTTTGGCCACCCATCCGATTACCGGCCTTTATGAAAGTTGCTTAACCTACGCAATCGAAAATCAAACCTTGATTGATCATAAAATAGAAGTGACCTCCTAAGAAAGTGAGGATTTAATATGGATAATGATCCTTTGGATCATTTATCCATATTAAAGTTTTTCGTAAGGTGTAACTGTAACAGCTGTTGCTTCTTCTTTTATTAATGACTTATATGCACGTTTCACACAGTTCTGCCAATGTCAAGTTATAAAATTAAAATAAAATTATTCATGTCAATAAAATTAATGAAAAAGTTTAATTCATAAATGTTCGTCGGTTTTTATATGCCAATTTATATATGTTTCTAAAAAAAAAACTATTTGGTTAATGTAATTGTAATTCATTGAAATTTCAACAGCGTTTCGGTTTTTCCAGAATCCTTGCATTCCATTTGTGAATCTATGATGGTAGCACGCGATGTTGCCAAACTTCCACGAATACCATTCCATGATGGCATCAAATTAGAAAGAAAGAAATCGAAGGTAAGTCGACTTCTTCCATCGCCGACCTATTAACGTCCCCCATTGCTGGGGTGCTAGCTCTCTCTATGTAAGAAATCAAATAGGTAATGGTTCATAAACCAACATATTAACGTCTGCAGCTTTAGCTGGGCGCAGCGGTTGATCGTGCCTTTCTAAGCACGGAAGAGCTCGTGATTGAAATTTTTGGTTACCCATCCCATTGCCGGCCATAGAGAAAGTTGCTTAAGTTCACATCGCAGACTAAACGCAATAACCACTTTGCCATCGAGCTTCTCTACGTTCTCCCTCCTCTCGCAAGTCTTCTTAAAAATATGAAATCTTTATCTATACTAATATTGTAAAGAGAAAGATATGATTTTTTGTTGTTTCGATAAACTCCGAAACAACGGGACCGATTTAAAAAATTCTTTCACTCGTGGAAAGCTACTTCATAGGAGGGTGACATAGACTATAATTTACGCAGACGAAGTCGTGGGAAAAAAGCTAGTAAATGATATTAAGAAAACAATGTACCCAGGAGTATATCAAGGTAGGTACTACAAGTTAAGTCAACGTCAAAATTACAAATACGTTTCTAAATGCCAGCCAGTATAAAAACCTTTTTGCATACATTTTTTTTTATCGTAAGATTAAATAACTTGAATGTATATTTCGCACGTATTTTCTACTTTTGACAACATTTTTCTTTGTTAAGTATAAACTTTAAAATGCAAAGATCCCTGTGAACGTAGCTTGCATAGAAACTGCTAGGTGGCGTAGTGACGATACGTTGTTTAGAGGAGCCGCTTAGAGTTTCTTGAACTTTAAACGCTCATTACTCAAAATCGCATTTTTTGCATTGTGTCACTGTCGTTCTCAACGTGCGATTTATTTAAGGTACACCCGACTCAAGGTCAATCAGGTGGGTTGAGATCATCTCTATATCTGGACCTGTCGCGACTACCCACACTCACCAGGAACGTGAGCGAAACACAGCTGGTAGCCGATATACGTAGCGTTGGTGAGTTACTAAATAAATAAATAATGCTTTTCTTTGTCTCCATAAACAGTATAGGAAATCTCAGAGTACCATTGACAAAGTGGATTTTTAAGCGTTTCTTTTACTAAGAATATTTTCCAGTATAGCATTCTGAATGCAAAATTGATGAAATATAATAAACAGTATAATGACTATTTTTTGCTTGTCTATCCGTCAGGTAGATTATTGAAGAATATTAAACACGTATTTTATTTTAATTTTTTGCATTATCAATAAATTACGCAATACATTGAGTTGAAATGTCGCATGACGTCACGTCTTAGTACATTTTCCACGTGGTAGTGACGTAGCGAGCCCCTACCCCTCAACTTTAATACATAAGCAATTTCTTGTTAAAATGAAGCCAAAAAATTCGTGTTCGTGTCCATCTGACTGATGGACTATATAGAATTTTTACCCAAGTATTAGCCCTGTTTTAGTTACATATAGCCATATTATTTTCACGTGTACTATGTAATATTGAATTATAATAGGGGTTTACCAATCCGAATTTATGAAAACTATGTTTGAATGTTGTAAAACCTAGGACAATCTATACAAATATTATAAAGCTGAAGAGTTTGTTTGTTTGAACGCGCTAATCTCAGGAACTACTGTTTCGAATTAAAAAATTATATTTGTGTTGAATAGACCATTTATCGAGGAAGCTATGTATATAACATTTAGGCTATATAACATCACGCTGCAACTATTAGGAGCGAAGAAATAATGGAAAACGCGGACGAAGTCACTGGCGGCCACTATATCAAATAATATAAAAACATTTGTCAATTTTTTTTTGCATCAAGTTAAAAAGAAATTACTTAGATTTTGTAGATCATGTCGTCACAATTATGGAGAAAAATCACCCGAGTCTTGACGTCATGTAACACTTCAACTCTATGTATCTTCGTTATCTATTGATTACGCAAAAAAAAAATGCGTTTTTAATATTGTTCAATAATTTTGACAGACAAAAATTTTTGTTAACTGTTGTTTACAAATAGACGTTCTAGGACACCATAAAAACCAGAGCCTTAATTCTGCTAAATCAATAGAATCTTAATTTTATTATTTATTGTTGACTTTTACCTCTCCTATCCTCTCCTAGGCTGTTCCTCTCGTCCAACCCCATCTGGTCCAGTATTAGATCAAATTATGAGAATTAACCCTAAAGCTGGCACCAACACTGAATGCCGATACGTCGTCGGATGGAGTAAGCGCGCCGCGCATGTTAGTCAGTGCCTCCTTCATTATGATTTAAACGGAAAACAAAACTAAATTCACTTATTCACTTTTTGACTTCCCTATGGGTAGATAGACACACATACAGAGAAGTGGTTTAACTCACTATGCGGTTAGGATATCATCGGGGATAGTGCAATGTCTCGTAACTAACACTTACGATAGGGGTGTACACATTTCTTTTTTTTAATATCATTATTTTATGGATTACATGAAATACATCCAAAAAATACATAAAAATGTATCATTCATATAATAAGTTAAAATCTAAAAATAAACTTAATTTTCAAAGGGCATTGTTCAGTTATCTACAGTTATAAAAATCTTAATTTTTTAATATTTCATATCTTAAGGAAGTTAACTATTGTAATATTTTCATGGGAAAGTTTAACATTGTATATATATAATGTGCAGTATTCCATAAACGATGTAAAAAAAGTTATATTTTTGGTAAAATACTTTAATTACCTTATCATCATATTAATTTATTTATGTTAGAAATAAGAAACAGAGATGGTTAAATAAAGAAATTGTAGATTTACTCATATTTACCTTTAATTTTACAATACAATTCTACAAGTAAAATTCAGTATTTCTAAATACATTTATTTATAAGAATAGACTTTACATAAAACTTAATAAATAAATTACACTGCTCATACAGTTTCTCTTCAGCTGGATGCTGGCATTTGTGCGGTCAAAAAATCTGCTACATTTATATAAGTTGGTCACCTGACGTCCTAATCATTGAATCTTCCACGGCCTCTCCTGACGTGTGCTCAACCTCGAACACAACTATTCCCAGGATTTGTGCTCACCCTCTAGCACAACTCTTCGGCTTGTAGCAGCTGTAGCCTCACATTTATTTATTTCTGCGCCTTTTAACAGAAAGGACTATTTTAAAACACCTATCCAGTACATTTGTACATTACTACTAAATAATAAATTAAAATTAAATATTGAACTGTAACAATAATACATCATTACCGCATGTTTGAAGGTAAGAAGAAGGGGGATCATACATTAATAAAAGACAAAATTCTCGAGAAAGTTTGTTTGTTTACTACATATACTAGTGCTGCCATCTACGCCGAGTTTGCGTATGCTGAGACTAGATGTATTTTAGAAACATAGAACAACTAGATTTAGTACTTTTTTACTCACACATTAGCACACCAGTGTTTCCGATAGTTTACTACCTTAAAATAAGATTTCATATAGACTATACATTATTTAACTAACGTATTGCGTAACCGTATCTTACATAGGTTATATATATATATATATATATATATAGCTGTATATTATTGACATAGATATTGTCTTGAGTAGTATATAGCATCTGCTACTGTTCTTCACAATATTACGAAGTAAATACGATTTCACTATGGTTTTTGTTGTTTCTTAAACAGTATTCGAACTAGTTTGAAAACGAACACCATTTAGATATTATAGACGACCTTTATAATCGAATGGTTCAATCACAATCTCTTAATTCACTGACTTTGATTCCCGGTCGTGATACCTTTGTTACTACAGTTTATGCGTTTGGGTGTAGTTGCTTCTCTGGATATGACCAATGTGTGTGTTTTATATTTATTATTTACTAGCATTCGCCAACGGCTTCACCCGCGTGGTTCCTAGGGAAATATTTAATGGCATAAAAAGTATCCTATTATCTAAGTCAACTAAATACCCTATCTGTATACCAAATTTCATCAAAATCCGTTCATTAGTTTCGGCATGATTGACCGACAAACATCCATATAAAGAAACTTTAACATTTATAATATTAATAGGATTTATTTAACACTTTCAGCACAACCCAGAAAATTTGACAAGCACAAAAAAATACTAGATGTTGTACAGTTTTATTATAGGTGGATATTAATTTTCAAAACTTGATTTTTTAGGATCAAAAGCCCTCAACAATATGACGGAACAATTCAGTAAACTAAACAGACTGAGCCATTCGCTGAACGCGCGCGCTAGACCAAGTCTCCAATTGAAATTCGATCAAGGAACAGCTCGCACCAAGAAGATATTCACCTTGGGACAAAACAGGAGTGACAAGAAGAAGGGCAGCCTCTCAGACGGTATGAGTTCAGATTGCTCGTCGGACGATGAAAACAGAACTAATATATTTGAACCAACGTTGGACAATTTTGAGAACAGCCAGCATTATATAGGTTAGTTATTTTTAAATATTAATAAGTAAGTAAATGCTAATTCTAAACAATTTTGAATAATTAGATTATTACTTTTAGTACTTATTGAAAATTGTAAGTATCAAGTAATTTTTTCGGAGTATGACTATTATAAGTAAAAATTCCAAAAAAAAAAATCGAGTTCAGGATCCATTTTCGTTAACCATGGATTCCTCCTAATATTTTAATAATTTTTGATTTTATAAGAGGGTGATATAAAAAGTCAAAAATTATACAGGGATTCCATAAGGGAATAGTTAATATAGACGAACTATCAGAACAGACCAGAGTATCGATACAAGAAGACGACAGCAGACAAGACCTAGTTTGAAAATAGGAGCAAAATATGCAATATTTATCTAATACTAAAAACCTTAAAATATAATTGCTTAAAAATTCACCAGTCCCAGATAAGATATGAAAAATATCTAAATTTATTTATATATCTCCGTGTATTGTTCAGGTAAATCTGAGACTCTGCAAAAAGAGGAGGTAGAAGTAGATTGCGACCTAATAGAGAACCCTCTGTATTCATCGAAAATAGAACCTCACGAGAAACAGGTATTCGAACCGACCACACTGATCACCAGTCCGGTGGAGAAACCCCCTGTAGCATACGAGACCCCGAGCAACGTGAACAAATTCAATCCGTTCGATGCTGAAACATCGAAGACTCCAGATATTAAAGTGGAGACAGATGGAAGTAAGCCGGCCCCTCCTAACAGCCTGATGCTTGCTCAGAAGCTGTCACATAGTTCCAACGATATAAACTATGATGATCAAGAGGGTGTCAATTTCCACGTCCGATCCAATTCGCAGCATGAAATTACGCTTAATATAGCGCAGTCGCACAGCGAGTCAGCGCTTAAGCAGCTGAAGAACATCGCCAGTCCCGTTTCGAGTGCTACCAGGGAAATGGTTTTATCACCGCTGTCGAAACTAGCGAAAGGTGTTCAGACTTTGGGGGCTAATCTGGATCCTCGGAAGATAAAAGTGAGTAAGACACGTAAATCAATGTCCACTTGAGATGTTCCTTTAGCTGTTTGTTGTTTCAAAACTTATACAAGTAATTTAATCACGTCTGGTGCTGGTCTGACAGTGACGACAGAATTCTTTTTTGATATACATCTTTAGAAATCTTACTAAATAATTTTAATAAATAAAAAATATGTTTTAATTATTTATAAACTTATTTAAATTGTTCATTACTTATTCCTGTTTACTCAGTATGACGAATTAAATTATTCTACCTCGTATTAAAAAAAAATTTCACCATATTTACAAAGACATCATTTGACGCTACTTTTTCACTATATAACATTTTTTTAAAGTATGGGGAATTTAGATATTTTAACGGCAACACTGTATGTAATAAGATTTCATTTAAAATTTTATATAGTGATGATGTTTTGTATTATTATTATTAAAGGGTCCCGCTACAGTGAAACATGTGACCGAGCAACAGTATGAAGAGCACAAAAAGTTACAAGAAAAATGGCGCGGCTGCAACACACGCCTTGTCGCTTTGTAATGTCAGTGTTGCCAGCTATTAGTGAAAGTGTTATCCAGTGACAAAAATTATGTTATTTTGGTACCACATGGTATCTTATTATTCATATTATTCAAATTATTATTTTTAATATTAATCAATTTTTTTTTATTATGTGACAATATTGTAATGTGCCCGAGGTATCAAAATTGCTTTCAAATAATTTGACGCTTCCAAAATGTAAGGCTAATTTGTTTTAAGAGCTTATAAAATGCCCGTTCGAAGTCAATTATATGTTGTTTCCGATTGTTATTATAGTAATTGACTAAATTAGCTAATCGATTAGCGATAGTGTTACGACTAGTGTATATTCGGTACTCTATCGAGGAATTGTTATGCTTAATATTAATTTCGTATTTATTCGAATAGACATAGATTAATAATAGCACATAGTATTTCAAAGAAGTGTTCTAGGATGTCTCTGTGAAAAATTAATAAATTGTCGATAAAGTATTATATAAAGGATCAGGCTTGATGTAACATTTTAAACTATTATGAATGTCACAAAATATACGTAATTACCCATTTATAAGTATTACGATTTTCAAAGCAGTCGCTGACTGATAAATCAATGTATAGTATTTAGTGCTTAATAGGTAATTGCCCACATTAATAAGTCAATATTAGGACTGCATTACATTTACTTATCGATAAATGCCCAGTGTTCACATAGAAACAACTTGCAGGAGTACATAAAGTATCCAAAATACGCTTTATAATCCAAAGTATTCAAAATGAAAATCATCAACCACCCAAACACTTTATGGGTCAGTATGGCCTTCTGAAAGATATTTTAATACTTAAATCATCTTAGCATTGATTTAGTTACTACAAGTTTCGTTACTACCCACGGTCGCTAGCCTGTGTGCAGTTTTTTTTTCTATATATTAATTATTAATATCATATGCCACACAAAATTCCGTCTTTGCTGCGCTTACTTAGCATGGCGAATGCTGCGCCAGCAGTATTTTAAAAACTAATAATGGCATCAACTTTTTAAACCTATTAAAGTTGTAGAATAGTGCTGGTTTATTGAATAGCTAACATTCAAATGAGTGGTCGAAAAATTAATTGCTTTTTATCAGGGTCCATTGAAATCGTGCTTAATTTCCTAGGGTTCTGTGAACTAGAAAACATGAAGAAATGCCGTTAATAAATTTTAAAGAGCTTGGAATATTTAATATTATTATTTTTTATTGCTCTTCAACTCAGCAACGATAATCATTTATGATTAAAATTTCACAATAATAGTCAAATAAACGTATAGTTAGTATAATACACAAGGACTGGCTAATAAAATTATATATATTCATATTATAATGTTCCTGTTCTATCGATGTCTATAGGATTATAGTTTGTATTCTAGGACGAAATCTAATGTTATAACATTCCTATTTAATTGTAATAAATATGTATTATTATTTATTAAAATGAGAACAGTATTATAAAATGTTTATATCATAGTATAGTCATAAACAAAGGGCTTAGTTTCAGTGTCTATTTCGCATAATGCTTGCGTTCCAGGTAGGTCTTTTGTTGAAATAATCACAAAGGTATCATCATCTGGATTTCCGGTCACCGATCGCATCTATAATAAAGAAAACCTAATTTGGTTTTATAAGATAATATAGAAAACCTAATTTGGTTTTCTATATTATCTTAGGTCTGGGTGTTGTGATACCTTCGTAATTTCAGATATTGAACAGAATATTTAATTATATCATACATAGACACTTAACTATGACATAGGTTAATATGTAGGTATTGGTAGCCATTCTGTTGCATAAACTAAATTTAATGTTTTAATCCAGTCAGACTGCGTTTTCAAGCCTTTTAATAACTTTGATAAAATAATTGAATTACCAACAATAACATTAAAACAAAACTCGAAAAAGAACATTTTAGAATAGTACATGCAACAGAATTGGCACCAATATCTGTGAAAACAAGCTAAATATTAAATGTTAGTGTTAATACAGAACGTATAGACAAATGTGAAAGTATTGGCTAAATTACAAGATAAGTGTAATAACCAAATGAAGCTAATAAGTAATATGTAACTCGATAGCTTAGTTTTTATTAGCTATGGATAGGAGTATACAAAAAAATAACACCATAAACTGAACCGTAACATACTGATTCAATTATTCTTTATTTTCTTAAAAATTTAAATACTTTACAGTATGTGAAAGTATTGCAAAGAAAGTAAAGTGATCAGAGCAGGTTTATTAATTTTAGTACTTTTATCATATGTGCCCATAGAAAGAATAACGTGGATCAGACATTTTTCCTTAATGTATATATTTCAGGGCATGAGCCCAATCCAATTTACCTTTATTTTTCGACTTCTCGCAACCTTTATAAGATCGTCGGTTTACCTGTCGGGGCCCTACCGACTGAATGTCTTCCGATACCCGACCGCCTTCCAGAACCTTCACCAACGAACATCGGTTCTTCTAGCTGTGTGTCCCGCCCGCCATTTTAGCTGAGCGATTCTTCGAGCAATATCAGCAAAGTTGGTTCTCTTATGGATTTCTTCGTTTTTAATATGATCTCTTAGAAAAAAACCTAGCATTGCTCTCTCCATTGCCCGCTGGCTCTTGATCCTTCTTACGAGACCCATAGTGAAGCTCGTAGAACCAGCGTCTCGCTTCCTTAACTCATCATTGGTAACATACGCTGGTCGAAGACCTTTGTCTCGAGACGCCGAGATAATTTGGACACGAAGTTTTTTCGTAGCTTCCCGAACGCGGCCCTCCGAGGTGCATTCAATGAAAGATCTCTTACTCGAAGACTTACCTACCTGGACTCTTTGTCCCAAGCATCCAATTGCAGCGAGCCTTGAGATAGAGAGATGTTATTTCTCCGAGACTGTTAACTGCTGCATTAGAGGATATTTTCAACCTTTTGGACTGGAAAGGACTAGGCATCAAACTTAATGGCGAGTAGCTTACGCACCTTTGCTTTGCTCGTCGCTGAGACCTTGGAGGACCTAAAAATCATGTTAGAAGATCCTAGTAGAGCATCCCAAAGAGTAGATCTTAAGATGGATAAGACGAAAATTATGTCAAATATCCATGTTATACCCTCTTAAGTTCAAATTAGGTACACTACTCTTGAAGTTGTTGACCTTATGTGTACCTACCTACTCTGATCACTGGTTAGTAGTTGTTCGATTATCTGGCAACTTTCAAACTATTTAAAAGCAAATAAATTATTAGTATTTGAACAATAAACCATATTAATTTTGGAGTTCAAAATAATCTTATTGTATTCCATGCTTGAAAAAAGGGAGATCCCTTCTGGAACTCGCCGTTACTCATCTCTAAATACTCCATAGTACATAATAGGTAATACTAGGAAATTATAACTGTCTATAAGTATTGCGTAACATTTATAGACTATTAATGCACCAATTTATTAGCGAATTTGATAAGTGTTTCACACGAAAATGATGTAATAATACGCTTTTTTTTTGTAAACATACATTTTATAGCTTAAATAATATTAACTTGATGCTCTACAAAAATATATAATAGTAAATATTTTAATATAAAAGCTTTATAGACATGTATTTACAAAGTTGTATTGTTCTTTATGTTTTGACAGATGTGACAAAGAATCATGTCCACTTTTCATACATTGATTTCCCCCCACCGCATTTACCCCCACCAATAGGCCAGGGAGATTCGTAATTTGTAAATAATGTTTTAATGTAATAATATCGTGTCAAAACTCGAGATAATTGTGAAGCTACTTTAAAAATTTATGTATTAAAATCAAAGCTTTTTATAGTTTGACTCGTAATATGGAAATAAATTAAAAATTTAATTATGAATTTTTAACCTTATGACGAAATAGTATTTTTCCGTAGTAAGTAGATGAAGTAAAAACGTAGCAACCCGTCATTGGGTCCGACCGAATCGCGCTGGGGTAGTGTAGCAAACCGTCATTTTAGGGTCCGAATCTCATTTGGGTAGTTATCATAGTACTATTAAATTATATAATTATCTGCCTCGCATTTTTTATCCTGGCTAATATATATTTAAGATTTAATTGATTTATTTACGTATTTTTTTCCAAAAATAAACTACAATTTGAGATATATCAAAACACTAGACGTCACGAGTTAGTAATTTTTTGGGTCAAAATTGGACATGATTCTTTTTTTTGCAGTTATGTATTTGATTTAGCCGCTTAATGGTTTTAGAGATAATGTTGGGAAAAAATACAGATACAAGCTGTCGAATAATTCCACAATGGCCAGTCCACGCGACGAGGATTTATCTTTTACATTTTTTTTTCGAAGGTATTTTTTGACCCAAATTAGGCGCATTTTTTTGGTTGGTACCAACCGAACCTAACCAAAGCACTAAGGAATTCGTTTGATCATTTTCGTATGGACCGGCCATAATGCTCGAGTTCTGTGTTTGAGTAGAGAGAAACAGATAAGGTATTTTATCTCGCTTTCTAACGAAAATTCCCTGCTCTATCTATATTACCTCTATGGTTAACTGTAGAAATGTTAGCGTGGATTTAAATTCCAAAAGTGATTTAGTAACTTATTTTGTCAAAGGAAACTGTTTATTTAGTGGTGGTTATACCTTTGTTGCACTCTTTCTTTGATTTTATTTTATGTATCTACTCACTTATTACTTTCTAGATTATAATTTTACTGCTCTGATGCTTATAGTTCAAAATAACAGTGTTGGATTCTGTACCGTATAACTGTTTTTTGTGTGATCTTTCAATTACCATCTTGCTATTATACTACCATATCATAAAGCACGTATTATTATGCATATTCACAAACTAATTTCAATTTTATTAAATTGTTATATAAATACTTCTCAAAAATTAATTCAACCTTACAAACGAACATCAATAACAGTTTGACATTGGACTTTTATATCCTACTTTCTCTTTACCCGCGGCTTCGCCCGCCCATGTCACCCGCGTATAATGTGACTTCCCGTAGGTAA